ACCATGTAGAAGCGTACTTCAGCCGAGCAAAATATCTTATTAGGAAACAAACCTGACGACATGAGGTTCATCCCGAACATTCTCCATGGGTTTATGTGGAAGGAATGCCACAATACGAAGCTGTATGCCGATCTTCTGCCATTGTCCAGCGCAAGTATTGCGTGTAGGCAAGTCTACAACACCTAACCTGACCTCCTCTGCCTAACCTAATCCAACCTTACCTACCTAAAACTAATGGATCAAGTGTATCCTGATGGCGGGCGATATATCATAGGTTACAGGCGATTATGCTGCAACTGTATAGGTTACAGACTATACTGAAATACAGACGAAAGATCCCCTCGCTTCACTTAAAAATGGCAATGGCACTTTTAAGTGGTCTGGTGTCGCGAAACTTACATATATTAGAGGAAAATGTTGCGCAGTAACGGTGGTGATTGACATTCGAAGTTATATGCCTTGGTATGGGCACCGCGAGGTGATCAATGTGGTTAATGTTGCAGAACCATAACAAGTAAAACTAATTCGGTATAACCTATAGCTGGAGCTATGAACTATAACACAGGAAATTTTCTCTCTAAGTTACATCGGTTGCTCGTGTCCGTTCTAGGCCACATCCATTTTCGATCCAGTATTTCTTTGGAGGCGTATTTTTCAAGATGACACATGGGTATATAGTTTTTCTATGCGGTATTCTGCCGGATGTCATTACCATATGGATAACATGGCACACGGCATCGAATATTTCCAACAGTCCGAGCTGTTCGCTCAGCAAAAGAATGAAAGATCTCAACGAGGCAGGGTGTTTGTTACAAGGTGATTTGTATTAGAAATCAAAGAACAGACTAAATGGAGAGCAAATAAAAACCTTATTGAAATTCCTTAACTTACCAGTCGCCGAGTTATCGCGTCGCAAGTGAGGCGTCTCAGCGCGGAGCATCAGTGGATGTTTAAAAATCCTGTTAAGAAGCAGCTAAGATAAGGGCAAAAATTTCGGCGTTTAAAAATTGTCACTTATGCGAAGAAGTAAAATATAGAACCTATTCGATACTTAAATACGCTTCAAAAAACAACATATGCTTAATTGTGCGCAACATAACGCTGTTATGAGGAAAAAATGATTGAAAGCAGATACAAACTTACTAGCAAAAACTGCTTAGGATTTTTTTCACAAGAATTCTATTAAAATGAGACTACCTGCTGATGTACTCATCGCAGCAGTATATGGTGTGTACATGCGTTTAACGCTTTCTGCTTTTTCAGTGAAGGTGATCGATTGCAAGCTTGCAGGGTAGTTTCTTGGGTTAGGTTGGGGTTGTTAAATTTGTGATTGTTCCAGTCGGGTGGTTACATGGTAAATGACACTGCCGGAAAGGTTGTAACAGTAGTTTATTTAACGGACTGTAAATCCTGAGCTCACAGTTCGGTTCCCGTTTTTTTACCGTCATGTCTGTTTGTTGTTTTTTATGTTTGCACAAACCATTGCGTAGAGGATTTCGTGCCACGTGTTTGCTGAGAATACAAACCGCATGATATGAGTTTTATTGCAGCACTACGCTGCACAAACACCTTATTGCACCGAGCCGCTTATCAGCCAGATTCATTTCCTGACTCCGAGCTTTTGCTCAAATGCTTCCGTCCGGGAGCAATGCGACGCTAAGAAACATTGGTTTTTGCTTTTACCTTGAATTTGATTGTCCATCATCTCCTTGCTGTTAAACCGGGATTTTTATACCTATTTCAAGCATGCGTTTTAGTTATCTATGTTTTGAACCCTGTTTTCTCAGCCATCTATTTTTATCGATAACTAATGTTTCTTCAGAGCTGCTGGGCTAGACCGGATGCACATAGTATGAAAAGAACGAGGCGTTGCGGAAGCCCGTTTCCCAAAAGTTCACCTCGCATGCATTAGAGACCGAAGTCAAAGCTCGGCGACCTGACATATGCTGGCAACATAGGGCTAAAAGTCAGCTTGATGTGCACTCACCGTTATATTTTTGTGAATACATCTCCGGAATGTCGTGAAATCGCGCCCATTTTGCAATAGCCTTTGGGGGCATTTGTTGTGCGTGTTTTGAAACTGCAAACATATCCCTAGCATTCCCCCTATCCTTCTTAGCCCTCACCCTGATCCACCGTTCTTCATAACGCGGACTGATAGGGAGCGTCGATGCGATCCTCTCCCCTGCCGTTTAAAATCTAGCAAAAGTAGAGCTTGGCAGAAAATACATGTGAATATGTTGCAACGAGATTTCGGGGCTGCCAACCCGTTTTATGTCGATGGATTAAGTATTGACCCCATTATGCCATGTCAAACATCAGATTACCCCCGAAGTGACACCTGTCAGCTTTACGGCCTTATGCATACGAAGCTATGTCATGTAGCGGTATCAGATCTAAACAGGCGCGTTCCTTGTTCAATTTTAAGTGCATTGGAGTAAGGAGTCATCCGTTTTAACCATTCATTTATGACGCATGGCTCCATTAATGTAACAACGTCGACCCGCCGCACGCGTTGCGCGGTTTTCCGCGGCCGCCGCCCGTCGTCCGCGTCGGCCGTAGATTACTGTGCAGCGTTCTTCAAACACCACCGCTGCACCGGAACCAGAAAGGCCAGGGACGTGTTTTTATTTTCAAAACACGCAAAATGAATGCCTTAAGGGCTATTGTAAAATGGGCACGATTGCGCGATATTCCGGAGATGTATTCATAAAAAAACATTGCGGGATCATCGACCCGCACTTTAGAGGCGAAGGTTAAGAAAGCTCTGTGTGTGCCCTTGATGCTATCAGCAGGACTATCTAGGTGCAAGACAAGTATACACAGCATTAGGGGTTGGCTGAGTGAGGCCCGCGATGCCGATGAGTCAACAACTCAGCTAACGGCCGAAAGGTAAGCCAGGGGCCATGAGCCCGCATCCTCGCTTCTTTCCTCGTGCGAGCATTCTCACTGCCGAATGTGTGGGTCATTGGGGCGCTACGACGCACTCGGTAGCCGAGTCTGCATGGCGTCGCCTGCCTGTCACCTTAACAGGAAGGGTGGGCGCCGCATGAAATGGACCCCCCGCACCTCTGGTGTCCCATACGCACAGGTGAACGACCGCACTACCGGCACCCCCACCTCGCTGATTGCAATGCACGCGAATGCTGTTTGCCGCCAAGTCTTTTTGTCGTTAAACGGTTAAAGCACCACGCTAGCAGACCAACGGCTACTGGGCGAACTTTATATTGATACGCGCTCGGGTGGGGATCAAATTGCCCCCCCTCCGCCAGTTTTTCCGGAATGGCTTCCGAACGGTGCGGCGTAGCCACGCGAAATATTGCATAGCTGTAAACAACTGAATAGCTGATGGTCTGGTATCAAAAACTTGAGATCATGATATGTCACTGACCTAATATGACCAAGGTCAGACACTTTTTTAGGAACATACTGTCCCAGCGTAAATCTTTGTGGCCTTCTCAAATGCAAAACTTAAAGCAAACTTGTATGACTTTGGATCACCATGACGATCAGAAGGTCCAAGAAGGTCACTGACTTTAAATGAGCATGTGATCTTTTGCTTGGACTCTGGTTACCATGACCTTCAAAAGGCCAGAAAGGTTAACTGTCTTAAAAAAATGAGCACGTGACCTTTGTTTAGAGGCAGACCATCTAGGCTCTGGTGACGCTTTGGAAACCAACCTGGAGTTTAATCTCGTTGGACCCCATTTGACCGGAGGTCAAGAAGGCCCAACAAAAGTCACCTAGGAACCTAAACTTTGACGTAAGTTCACGTGCAGACCGAAACACCCTGTCTGTTGTCTTTAGCTCTCTTAGTTCCCGAGATCTCAAAATTGACCCCCCCACCCGAGCAAAGGGCATCCAACCGACCACCTGGGCGCGTGTTGACAACATGCTTTTTACGGTGCCCGCCTTGTTATCAAAATGTAACTCATTCGAAAGGATATTTGTCGAAAACATAATCATTTGCAAATGTTAACTAGGGGCCAAATTCCACCTGATGAGCCCGGAACAAATCGTCGAACAAACCACGTCTGAAACACGCGAGTGATGCACAGCGTTCACCTTCAAACGCCTGAAACATAGCAGCGAATGTTTAACCAGCACCCAACATGACGCATCGCGCGCCAGCTGTCTTATCGGCGTGACCCCCGGCGCCAGCCATCTTATCAGCGTGATCCTGGCGCCCGGCGGTCGCGGCCGTAGATAATGTGTCAACGAGGCCATAAACGACAGTGAATAGGGCAGCCCAGTGGCTGTCTCTCGTGAGAAGAATGGCCAAAGATGTCTGAGCGTGAGCCTGCGTGACACCGCGTCACGCCTGAGGACAGTCGTCGTTAGATCATCGTATAGTCTGGAGTCCCTGACCCGATGCTCCGGCCACGGATCACACACATCTGCAGCAGCGGACGTTCATCCGGAGGAATGCAATTCTTCAAATTATGATTTTTGATAGGCGACATCGGCGAGAAATCACACTGGAGTAGGTTCGCATTCTGGACGTTCTGTACCTATGTTCAAAAACAACTTTTCGTGTTATTAGTAACGCAATGATAAAAGACATTTTGTCGTTCTCCAGCATACTTATTCCACTCGCGCAAGCGCTGCGCGAGGCTGGAGGAACTAGCACGAGCCTTGCCTGTGGCCTTGAGCTGGATGAGGCGGTTATTACTGCGTGCACCACATGATCACGTATCCAAGAGCTACGGTTCAGATGTCCCCACGCCCCTCTCTCGGGTGCCGGCCGTATTCCCGGTGCGGGCTGCAGTCCGCCCTGCGGGCCAGGCCAGCTCCAGGAACTGCGACGTGAGGGAGTCGCAGTGAGCAATGCAAAATTGATGCGTGTTGCGATCTGCGCCTTTTGATGTCATGGTTATACGGACGCATTCATGTGCCTCAAATGCTGCACTTATTATCACTGTCCGTAGTTCCAGATACCTGGGATGATACGCTGCCTGGCTGCAGTCTGTTCGCTGCTGGCTGCGGGTGTCCACAGCAGCATGTTTGACACGCTGTTCGGCACGTCCGCATCGATATGCACGGACGCGACGCCGCTGGCCGCCACGTGCAGCTGCACTCGTCAACAGCGGCAAGGCCCTCGGAGCATCGACTGCGCCGGACGCGGCCTCGACAACCTGCCCGTCGGCCTGACGCTGCCCGGCGGCTTCTCGGCCGTGACGTTCGGCGAAAACAAGCTGACGGAGGTGAAGAGGGGCCAGTTTCGGTGGAACACGGCCGCAACGATGCTGAACCTCTCCCACAATCTGGTCGCGACGGTTGAGTCTAGGGCGCTGGCTGGGCTGCCAGTACTACAGACGCTGCTGCTGGACCACAATCAGCTGACGGGGCTGAACCCGGAGGCGCTGCAGGGTGTATAAGAGCTCGCGCTGCTCGACCTTAGCTTCAATCGGCTGCGCGTGCTGGACCCGTCGCTGTTCGTCAACACCGACATCCGCGTGCTGCTGCTGAGTCACAACCCGCTGGTGAAGCTCGACCCCATGCTGTTCATGTTCGTGCCGCGTCTGAGGCGGCTGGACCTCAGCTCGATGCGCTCGCTGCGCCGCCTGGAGGCGCACGCCTTCAGCGGGCTGGACCAGCTCGAGGAGCTGCGGTGCGGGTCCGGCGGCGCGCTGGCCGAGGTGCACCCGGCTGCGTTCAGGGACGCCGCCTCGGGCGAGCACCTGGCCCGGCTGGTGAGCGTGGACCTGGCCGGGAATAACCTGACGGGCGTCAGCTGCGACCTGCTGCCCTGGGGGCGCATGGAGTTCGTCGGCGTCGAGCAGAACCCCTGGACCTGTGATTGCGACATGGCCTGGGCAGCTGGCGGCGCTTTGCCCCACGAGGATGCGCCGTCCTTCGTGTAAGTTCGAGTGTCAAGAGAGAAGCACGCAAAAATACTAGATGGAGGTGTGTTTATGGGGTCAATGAGCCGACAGCTGTTGTGTTAGTCTATTTTGAATTCGTGGCACTTTGGATGTAAGATAAGGTTGGAGTCGGATGAATCGACTAACGAGGGTATAGCTGATTGTGCGGAGGGGGAGGCACATTTGGGTGGGGAGCTGGAGCCCAACTTGGGGGAGCCCAGTTGAGGTCCCTCCCTCCCTCCCACCACTGAATAGTACACCCCTCTCCTCACCGTGTTCGCAGCTGTTGAAATTCGACCAAATCCCGGCATGCCTGAGATGGGTTCTGACACATTCCGGGAGCACCCGTAGACCTATCTCCGGTCGATCCCGCGCTAAGGCCGGCCGGGCGTACTGCCGCAGGTGTGAGAAGCCGAGGGCGGCGGTCGGCCGACCCGTCTCCAGTTTGACGGCAGCCGAGTTCGGCTGCCAGGATGGCTTCGTCGCAAGCACCGGCTTCGTCGCAGGCATCGCCCTCTCGGCTGTGGCGGTCGCGGTCGTTGTGGCCGTGGTCACCGTCTTTCAAATCAAGTTCCAGGTGAGTACACTTTGGCTGACTGGCTGGAACGGCTCACAGACCGGTGATGAACACTATATAAGCAGTGGGAATGATTGTCAAAGCCAACGATTTGCAAACCCAATATGTCATCATTATAGCAAACAGCACCGCTGACAGAAGTTGCGACGAAGGAGAGCTACCATAATTAGCGACGGGGAGAGGGTGGGGTGGGGGGGGGGGGGGGGGGGAGGGCGCCATTGTTACGGGCGAGTCACAGCCCCGTTGACAGCACATGCGCACCGTGAAACGATTAAAAAAACTGCAAACGCTAATAGCTGCAGACAACTGTACTAAGAATATCAATGGCCTATCAATGTTGGTTTGCACTGGCGCCTTAAATAATTTTTTCAGGGTCTTACGATTTAATGGTCATTCTACTACACGCTATTGGTGTTAAACACTCACGGCTGGTGGCTTTTACATCTCACTGCCGATAGCAGCGTCTATGAATTTCGAATCAAAATAGTTTCTCCGATTGAATCTGACGGGGTAGCTTAAGGGCCTCTGCCCCCCCCCCCCCCCGCCTCTTATCTGCGCCCCTGAGAACAAAAATGGAAGGCTGTCGAGTTCACTTTGGCAACGTCATTCAAAGTATCGCTGAAAATGTCATAATTCGTAATGCACAGCAACTGCCGTCACCGGCAAGCAAAAACCCGCTTCACTGATGAGACAGGCAGTGGCTTGACACGATCTAAAGATGCACGACTTCCACACTTCTGACGCAAGTGACGTCTGATGTCAGTGGCATGAGACGGTCTAAAGATGCACGGCTTCCACGCTTCTGACGCAAGTGACGTCTGATGTCAGAGGCATGGAACGGTCTAAAGATGCACGGCTTCGAAGGTACTGACGCCAGTGACGTCTGATTCTCAGCTGGTCTTCTTTCATGTGTCCCGCTTGGTTGCAGATCTTCCAGAAGGTCTTAGCGCCTTTCAAAGTCAGCTGCAGAAGTGACGCCGGACATCGAGCTTGCATAAGCAGTCAAACTGCTTGGCACACTCCGCAGAAGGACCCCTGTGCGGGCTCAGACCTGGCAGTTGGCTGGCGGAACCTGTTTCGCGCGCGTGCACAGTCACCCAGCCCCGACGTCTGACCTAACCTAAACTGGCCAGCATTAGGTATCTCTCCTTGTTTATGATTATTGCCGTTATCAATCTCCCCTTATTTATATCTAACTTATTGGGTATTAGGAGTCTCTTAGGCATTAGGCATCTCATTAGAATCCCCTACGTTGCTGTACCGAGTGGGATGTTGTCAAAACTGTTGTCGGCGTCGCGTGTCAGCCTGCCCTGACCCTCCCATATATCAAACGCCAGCAGTGCATGCTCCCACAACAAATCATAGCGGAACTCATCCGCGAGTCTACCGGTGCGGGAAGGGGGGGGGGGGGCATCAGGCAGCATGCGTAACGTGCGGACAAATATGCTGAAGGTCGTGTCCATCCCCAGCATGTTGAAAGTGGCTTCAAATAAACCTTTTCGTGAAATATCTCCGGCGGTTTGCCTTCCGTTAGCGCAGATCTCTACGGCGTGAAACGCAATGTTCCCATTCCCGATGCTTCAGTGATGAAGCATGATGTATGCCGTGATACAGCAACGCGTGACATCATCGACAGGAACACGATGCACATGTTGCGATTCGCATACAGCACGGCAAAGCGTAACTACTTTTATTGCTTGTAACCCTGTCATAAACAACCATCAAATATATTTCCACTTCAATGGGTTACTAAACGGCTTTTCTCACGGATCGAGTCAGCAACTCGCTGGTCAACAAAGAACACGAACCACGCATTGGGGCTGGAACACCAGTAACAAACCGACGCCATCAACGCGAGAACACCAAACCTCACTTCGCACCGCCACCTGCTCCCCACACGAGCAATGGTTCCACCCTGGGCAGGGAGCCCCCCCCCCCCCTCCCAGCGGAAGCACGCGCACGGGAAGCCTCTCTGCAGTCTTTCACGCGCCGCAGACGGCACGCAAGCGTCCCCGAGGGCTGCTCGGCCCCCAGCACGGCGTGAAGCGAAAGACGGGCGGTCAGCGGCGCAGCACACCGGGCGGCGAGACGCTCCGGTCGTGACCAGCGGTGCCGGGGACGGGCTCACCACCGGGCGATGCCGCTCCCCTCAGAACAGCGGACAGGGCCGAACAGCTGCACAGCAGCAGCCAGCCGTGCTGCAGCTGCATGGCAGCAGCCAGCCGTGCCGCAGCTGCACAGCAGCAGCCAGCCGGGCTGCAGCTGCATGGCAGCAGCCAGCCGTGCCGCAGCTGCACAGCAGCAGCCCGCCGGGCTGCAGCTGCGCGGCAGCAGCCGGCCGTACTTCTGGCGTCAGCTCGGCGTCCGCAGCGCGCAGGAAAGAACGGTACCGGCCACACGGCCGCGGAAGCTTCGTGTAAGTTCGGCGAGTTGGGGGGAAGAGGGCCGGAACGGCCGGTCATCGGCGCCGTCCCAGGCGGGGAGCGCGAACATCGCGGCCCGGCTGCGCACCGGGCGGATGACGTCACGCGAAGGTGACGTCACGTCGGACCAATCAGCGGACGTCATGCTGATTGGTCCGATCGGCCGCCTTCCGGCGCGAGAACGTAGCACGGCGCCGCCCTGCGCCGCGGTGAATTCGCCAGCGGCGCGGTCGGGCCGCTTGGCGTCCGACCGGCACTGCCTCTCGACCTGCCGCTGATCTTGACGTCTCGGGCGACGTTACATCTCAAAGTGCATCGGTGTCGCGCGGACGCGTCTGGGTGCGACACCGGCCGTCGTCGTCGGCGGCGGCGGCGACGGCGGCGCCGCCTCGCGCCGACGCCAGGCGGCTGTGACGCGCGCTGGCCGCCAGTCAAGGCCGGAAGATCGCCAGCTCACCCCGGCGAAGGCCGCTGCCGGCCCATCGGCGGTGCGAGCACGGGCGGCCGGGGGCCCGGCCCGCCACCACACGCCCAGAGGCGTCCGCAGCCGTCAGCTGAGGGAGGCGCGCACCGGCGCGGTCAGAAGGCGCGCAGACCCACACAGACTGCGGCCAGCGACAGGCGTGTTTAAGGTTGTTGATTGGAGTTCTGGAGCGCGCCGACGGGCGTGTTTAAGGAGTGGAGGCACGGGAGACATGGCCCCTCAGTTGATCTTTTGACGAGCATATAATATGATTTGTATTGAGAGTGCCCGCGTCATAACAAGCCTTTTTACGACAAATTAAGGCTATTCCGCTTAACACGACAAGAGCGTGCGCATCCCAATTGGTCCCCGGGATCAGCTCTGCCGTCCAAAGGCAAAAAGGCTTAAGCACCGTGCTAACTAATGGCTCTTAGGCCTTTTTGTCTTGGACGGCATGCTGACAGGCCCATCAAAATTATTTGAACAATGTGCAATACGACATACCCCGACCAGCTTGGAGGTATGCCCAGCACCCATAACGATGCGTGTACACGGATAATGGGCATTAATGCTTAATGCTGAAACCAAACCTGTTGAGTATGGAGGAGCCGCTTTGACGCAAAACGATTGACCCACTGTCAGGACTTTGCACTGCCGAGATTGGCCCACTGTCAGGACTTTGCACTGCCGAGATTGGCCCACTGTCAGGACTTTGCACTGCCGAGATTGGCCCACTGTCAGGACTCTGCACTGGCGAGATTGGCCCACTGTCAGGACTTTGCACTGCCGAGATTGGCCCACTGTCAGGACTTTGCACTGCCGAGATTGGCCCACTGTCAGGACTTTGCACTGCCGAGATTGGCCCACTGTCAGGACTCTGCACTGCCGAGATTGGCCCACTGTCAGGACTTTGCACTGCCGAGATTGGCCCACTGTCAGGACTCTGCACTGCCGCGACACGCGAGCAAACATGCACTAAGGAACCCTCAACAACTGGAGTAGACCTTTCAGGTCCCGGTCACCTTCCGCAAACTCCACAGTATCAGACAGCATATAGACATCCCATCCCACCCCATCCCAGCATACAGACATCCCGTCCCACCCCATCCCAGCATACAGACATCCCATCCCACCCCATCCCAGCATACAGACAGAGCAATTGGCCACCATTCAGTGCGCCCACCCGTGCCTCGCCTATTGCTCCATGATATGTGCTCACCTATTGCTGTCGAGATGCAGCTTTATCAACGCAGCCAGCTCCCGAGTTTTGTTCCTCAGCGACTGCATTTCATGGCTACTGATCTCAAACCGTGCCTCGAGGTTCTCCATCATAGCATTCACCTCCTTCACCTGCGGGGAGGACACCAGGGAACCAATGGCGTCGCCAGCCAAAGCCTTTCCACTCCCAGGGAAACCTGTTTCATTCTACGGCACGCAGTTGGAGAACACAAACGAGAAAAAAAACGCGAGCAGAAACATAGTGCGTGTTTCGCAAGCTACATACTTACATGAGCCATCCTCAAATACGACGAACAACTGCTTAACAAAAACGAAGATATTTGCATTACCTCACTGCGGCACGGGTGTAAGGACATGGTGGCTGAACGCATGTCTTGAAATAAGATTTTGAGCATGCCTACTGTGACATTTTTGGATTAGAGTCCTTTCAACCAGAAATGATCATTTCAGGGCTACGGAAGTATGAGAATGGTTAACGGTGGGGCAGACCTGCATGCGCCTGGGGGGCCAACCGCCGAGCTTTAATCCGCGCATGCGCGCTGGATACCCGATCGGGCTCTCCCTTCCCACGGAGCCCTCGGCCCACTCGTGGCTGACGCATGCAGCCCGCCCCGGACAATCGGGGTGTCGCGAGGACGTAGGACAAAGCAAGGTGGAGGATAAGAGGGACGGATGAGTGACCACGACAGATCACGAAGAAACGTCTGCCACGGAGCAAGAAAAAGTCTCCATCCCGACAGTGCAGGAGCACAGACGGCTGGCTACGGACCTGAGCAGTGTACTCCACAAACTTGTCCTCCTTCCGGCGCGCGTTTATGTGCCTGGTGAACTCCAGTCCGGCCAGCAGCGACATAAGCGCCACGCACACGAGGAAGCCGGCCACCATCAGCGGTGACAGCTGCCGACGCAGCAGCGCCATCTCCTAGCGACAGTGGCAACTTCGGTCAGTGGGCCGACGTCACGCCTTGGCGGGGAATTATTCATGCTCCTAGACACATTGTGGACACACAATGTGTTTGAGTTGGAGTGTGAGAAAGATGACAATGCTAGGCAAATCAACTGTGACAAATCAATGTGACCTATTGCAGCCTTGTTGCAGCACAGCCAGAACCAGTTTCACTGGACCACAGCATGACCTCCACAGACATGTCTCTTATACATGCCTATGTTCTTTCTCAAGGCTGTCAGGGACCAATTTACACTTTAAACTTGGACCAGATGCAGACTAATGTGTCCTGGTTGGTTTGGGTCAAAATCAAAAGCCTCGATTATGCAATCACAGATGCTCCTAGCAAACATCACAAGATTTCAGAGAGACAAGAACTGTAGATTTTTGAAAGCACAGGTAAGAAGCCACACCAATTTGAGGGAGGAGGCCTAGATTTTGAAAACCTAGAAAATATCAAACATGGGGCCTACACAACTGAATAAGGAACAATAATCAAATGCTTTAAACTCTTGAAATATACAAAACCAGTAATTCAACTGTGCAAGAGTAAGACAGGCATCATGCGAGCAGGCATACACTTGTTCAGTTTTAAAGTTATAATGGCTAGCAATCTATTTTCCCCTAACTCAGAGTTGAGACCTGAATGGGGATGTTGAGTGAATAGAAATATGTCTAGCTGGCCCATGCCCAGTGGGCATGCCTACATACTGAATAGGTTGACCCTGCAACCATTGGATCAAGTAAAACACTGAATTTCAATGACATGCCTAACTGACTCATTTGAAACAAGACAAAAGTTCCTTCGAAAGATGAGTGGATAGCTACTATGACCATCTTAATAATTCAGTGCATACACTAAACAGACCACAAAACTCACCACATAACAGGCACCACATAACTCACATACTGATTCCACACACTTCACCCAGTCACTCAGAAGCTGCAAATCGAGCATTCAGGATTTAATGTAAGTTATGTGCCCATACCATGGTTCAAACAGACGGCCTACGAATCCCTTTCGGTTGCAATCGTTTCTGACTGTTATGGCCTACGGTCCACTGACACCCACGATGGGTAGTTCGCAAACTAACTCAAATGCATACAGGGAAAAATCCACAGCAAATTCCGACAGCCATCCAGGCGAGGAATATGATGACGAAACAAATTTACCACACCTAGGATTGGCACTTCATGGTTGACACTGTACCCTCCCTGGGTGTCAGTCATTCATCAGTGCGTTGGTTTCGTCTTGGTTTCGGCTGTTTCGTCGAATGTGAGGGATAACCTACACGGAACGGTTGCTGGCATCTGAGACCGCATCTATCCGTGTTGAGTTTCGAATCTCAAGCAGATTTCTCTAAAATATGTCATGTGAAATTTATTGAATATTTATATTTTCCAAAACTCGTGGTTTTTACTTTTCATGATGAATATGGAAATAGCCTACCTATCATATATTAGGCTGAGCATTATCCGCTAGAGGCGTCCTAGTAGTAGTCTGAACTCACACGGTACCTGCGATGTTCGGACACTAAATAAGGAGTGTATGGTACCGTCATTCGCGTGGTCACGTCTGATGGGCGTATTTGTGGTGGCCTGTGTGTGTGAGTATGACCTGGTGCTGTTTGGCGCTATTGCTGTTTCGTTCAAAAGGTTGTTTGTTGTGAGGCATTTTGACCACATTTTGCATGGAAATGCGGTGCAGTGAAGAATGACGGCTTGCTAAATTGGATGACTGTAATTTATGCTGAGCTCGCTTTGCCCCGCCGAATAAGTAATAGGATGCTGATTTCAGAGCCCTTGGACCTTCACGTCAAGAGTAGTTATCAACCAAGCACAATGCAGGTAGGTAGCAATGTGGTGAAGACGTTGGAATGATGTGTACTCTACATGGTTTGATGACTGCGTGGTTTGATGACTCATCTAAGCATCACTTTTCTACATAGTTAAGGACTTCCGAAGGGTGTGGAGATGGGAATGACTTAGGACCATTATTTTGACATCCTACCTATTTCATTGCATGGAAAGAACTGTGTTCAACAACTTGTGTCACCTGACATTTGATGTTTGTCAGGTCCAAATGTGACTTCTAATTTGCTTGCTGCTTATGCATGTGTATTGACCATGGCTGAAATAATGAATCTACATTTTATTATTGTCATATTTTTCAATGCCCTGTGTTGTTGCAGACTTAACACATTTATGTATCTTGACAAATCCTTGCATGGATATATGTATATATGCATGTGCCACCCAGCATGCACAAAGTCAAAATTACCTTATGTATGCATATCAAGAAGCTGATACTGTCCCAAAGCCTGATCAGTGCTAGAAAAATTGACTTCTGCTGTCGGTCACTTTCCAGAACACCAATGAAGACACAGAATGGAACGATGTGCTACGTGCAAAAGGCATTCTGCCAGCAAAAGAGAAAGAAATTACAGAACAAGACATTGTTCAGATGGTAGAGGACACTGTTTCCAAGAAAGTCAATGGTAAGTCACTTGCACTCAGGCTAGTATTGATAGATTCATCCTGATGATCCTGTATGTTGGTTTTCATGAATATGCCAATTCTGCTAAAATTTTGCAGGCAGAAGCATAGGCATATAACAGACTATGATTAAGTTTATTGTACCATGCTTCCAGTGGTGTTGTACCACATTTTATCATTGATATTGTGCCAGTTATCCAAAACTTCATGTTAAGGGTGATTGGTACCACAGACATCATTTCCTTAGAATAGAATCTCTTGCCTTCAGCAGGTCCATGCTGCTAGTTACCAGTCATCATAGACATGGATCATACTGCTTGTTACCAAATACCATGCATAGTTGTGTCACGACAGCTTAGAGCAGTTTTTCACAGACATGGGCTATGCTGCTCATTACCAAATACCATTCATAGTTGTGTCACAACAGCTTAGAGCAGTTTTTCACAGACATGGGCTATGCCGCTCATTACCAAATACCATTCGTAGTTGTGCCAGGACAGCATAGAGCAGTTTTTCACAGACATGGGCCATGCTGCTTGTTACCAAATACTGATCAGACAGCATATTCACTAGGCCGCAGTCTGGGCGAGATGAACCTGGACGAACTTGACGAGCTGGAGGACGACGAGGACGAGCGCGTGCTGCTGGAATACCGGCAAAAGCGCATCGAGGAGATGCGTGCCGCTGCCCGCGCCGCCAAATATGGCGAGGTCAGTGCCTGTGACCCTGCTTTATGGGGCACAAGGTGATCAACCCCATGTCACTGAGTGCATTGCTGTGAGTGAGTCCAGTATCGGTTTCTCAAGCATTGTTTACCATCCTTCTGATGCACATAGATGGTTGGATGCAGGGATGACAGTGTCCCAAAATGCTCGAGGGGTGTGGTGCGATTTGTTGTCGGCCACAGCCCTCGAGGGTCAGGTACGCGCCGAAGAAAATAAGGGACGGCGAGGACTGGACTGGAACCTGCGGCGAGCCGAGCATTACCAGTGACCAGCTCGATGCACAGAGCACAGTGGCTCCACGGGCTCGGGACTGGTGCTGCTGCGGTCTCGGGAGTCAGGATGCAGTCGAGTCACGGCAGGGAAAACTGCGGCTGATGGTCTCTATCCGGCTCGCTTCTCCCCGTGTTGACACCAGCCGCGCTCTGCGGCGTCTCCCGGTCTTAGATGTTTACACGGAGTATGGTAGCGGCTCACCACCCACCTGCCAACTAACGGCAGCGCGTTGCGCCGCACCTCCTGCGGGGCTCCGGTTCCGGCGCCCAGTGGAGCCGCGTCAGCAGCTGTTCAGTGGCCGCTGCAGTGCTGCCTGATCCTGGACACCTCCAGCCCGACCCTGGACACCTCCAGCCTGACCCTGGACACCTCCAGCCCGATCCTGGACACCTCCAGCCCGACCCTGTACACCTCCAGCCCGACCCTGGACGCCTCCAGCCCGACCCTGGACACCTCCAGCCCGATCCTGGACACCTCCAGCCTGACCCTGGACACCTCCAGCCCGACCCTGGACACCTCCAGCCCGACCCTGGAGACCCTGGACGCCTCCAGCCCGGCCCTGGACACCTCCAGCCCGACCCTGGACACCTCCAGCCCGATCCTGGACACCTCCAGCCTGACCCTGGACACCTCCAGCCCGACCCTGGACACCTCCAGCACGACCCTGGACACCTCCAGCCCGACCCTGGACGCCTCCAGCCCGGCCCTGGACACCTCCAGCCCGACGTTGGACATCTCCAGCCCGACCCTGGACACCTCCAGCCCGACCCTGGACACCTCCAGCCCGACCCTGGACACCTCCAGCCCGACCCTGGAGACCCTGGACGCCTCCAGCCCGGCCCTGGACACCTCCAGCCCGACCCTGGACACCTCCAGCCCGACCCTGGACACCTCCAGCCCGACCCTGGACACCTCCAGCCCGATCCTGGACACCTCCAGCCTGACCCTGGACACCTCCAGCCCGACCCTGGACACCTCCAGCCCGACCCTGGACACCTCCAGCCCGGCTCTGGACACCTCCAGCCCGACGTTGGACATCTCCAGCCCGACCCTGGACACCTCCAGCCTGACCCTGGACACCTCCAGCCCGACCCTGGACACCTCCAGACCGGACGCGGTCCGGCGGCGCGCCGGCGTGACGGGGTCGCCTCCACCGGAGCGGGCCGGCCGCCGAGGCTGACGCCCGCTCCGCCGTGGAGGGCGCGCGGGCGGCCGGGTCCGGCGGTGACGCGACGCCCTGCTCCAGGTGCGCGAGATATCAGCTGAGGACTACGTCACGGAGGTGAACAGGGCCGGAGACGGCATCTGGGTGGTGTTGCACCTCTACAAACAGGGGTGAGTCGGCTCATTGCGTCTTCTGAAGTGTCGCACGCGTGCTCCGGGATGCCCGGTGAAAATGGACGTCGTGCTGTTCAAATATGGGAAGGTTTTTCATGTAAGTCAATCTTGGGAAATACCGCAGACGTTTCCGAGAACTCCCCAACCTCCGGCGGTTGCCCAATATTCTTTGTTATTTGTCACATTTGCGTTCAAAAATTGCTTTAGTGATATACACCTGTGTGGTCTGGATGATGAACACTCTTGTCAGAATTGCAAGAGTTGGCTGGCTTGGGTTTGTGGTGGACGCCATTACCCGATAGCGCGGCACGACCCCGCCATCTGGTGTCCGGCGTTCCGTCGCACTGCAGTCTGCCCCGTCTTGCCGCTGGTGCTGTCCAATGGTGACGTCACGCATGCAGGATCGGACGGCTGGTGCGGTGATGCCGCTGCGCTGAGCCTTGCTGGGAGTGTCCTTCGTCTGCTGTCGGCTGCTAGTGTCCTGAACCTTTCGTTGTCGTCAGTGGCCATGATTGGTGTCGGTGATATGAGCCCCCTGCCTGGTCGCAGTGCTGCCAGGAAAAGCAGCCCGTGCACTAAGCGTGCTGTGTGATCCGGCCTCTGCCCGCAGTGTCCCATCTGGCCTGGCCCCTGCCCCCAGAATCTCCTGTGACCGACCCCTGCCCGCAGGATCCCGCTCTGCACGCTCATCAACCAGCACCTCACGGCGCTGGCCGGCAAGTTCCCGGCCACCAAGTTCCTGAAGAGCATCTCCACCACCTGCATCCCAAACTACCCGGACAAGAACCTGCCGACGCTGTTCGTGTACCACGAGGGCGCCATGAAGGGCCAGCTGATCGGGCCCATGACGTTCGGCGGGATGAACCTCAAGATCGACGGTGAGAGGCCGGCGGCGGCGGCACGGACGGCCCGCGTACCGAGCGCTGCCCCCCGGCGGTGTTTGGCGCGTGCCGTCAGCCACGCACCGCGAGCGTTGGCGCACGGCGCCCCCCCCCCCCCCCCCATTCGCGTCGCGTGGTGGCGTGGTCTCGTTCGGCGACGAGTGTGGGCTCGCTCTGCTGTGTTGTATGGTTCCACGACATTAGTGATGCAGTAAAAACTCCTACGGACAGGGTGGCTGTAGCATCACTTCTTACACATTACTTATGCACGATATTGCTTCTGCAAGAACTTGCACGCGGCATCAATGCTACATGACAAATCTTATGTTCAAAAGTGTATACTCGTCATTGCCTTTACCGCGAAAACATAGTCAATACTTATACGCAGCTCTACTTTGCTGCAGTTATATGGGTAGTTAGTGCTATATGACTTCTACGCGACGTTAGTCCTAAAGCTGATACTTGTGAACAAGTCTTTACTGTAGATGTAATGAGTGGTGTATGTCTCTTGAAGCGTGCGTTTAGTCGTGGAGAACTTACTTCGTGTATGAGTTTTTACAGTGGAGGTGATGTCGCGTGTAAGTGAAGACCATATAAGTCTGCCCTTTAAGAAATGGCGAGTTAAGTTTTTGCAGGCAGGAGTAATGTGTAGAAGTCAAAACTGTAAAAAATTGTTACAGTGGAAGTAATGTCGCGTATAACTGATGTCATATCACTGCTATCGGTATGAGTTTGTGCCGTAGCACTAATGTCGTGACACCGTGTTGTACGGATCGACAAGCACTGTGCAGGATGAGACACAGGGAAGTGTTGCCGCTGTTGGTGCCGAGGCGCGGTTCGTGAGCAGGGGGGAGTGCCGGTGCTGGCTGCGCTACCGCGGCATATGGCCAGGCGCCGGAGCCATGTGACCAGGTGCCGGAGCCATGTGACTAGGCGCCGGAGCCATGTGACCAGGTGCCGGAGCCACGTGACAGGCGCCGGAGCCATGTGACCAGGTGCCGGAGCCATGTGACTAGGCGCCGGAGCCATGTGACCAGGTGCCGGAGCCATGTGACCAGGCGCCGGAGTCATGCGACTAGGTGCGGGAGCCATGTGACGAGGCGCGGTAGCCATGTGACCAGGCGCGGTAGCCATGTGACCAGGCGCCGGAGCCGTGCTCTGTGTGTGAGCGCCGGGTCATCTGTGCCGCAGAGTTGGAGTGGATGCTGTCGCAGACGGGCGCCGTCAAGACGACGCTGGAGTCGGACCCGCGGCCGCAGGTGCGCGACGTGCTGATGGCGCAGCTGGGCGGCCGCGGCCGCGCCGACAGCGACGAGGACGACTGGTGATGGCCCCGGACCGTGCGACGGACCGCGCTGGTCCCGCGGCGCTCCGCCCGGGTGCGGTCCGAGACCGGGATCTGTGGACCTGGTCTGTGACCGGCGTCCGCGGGCCTGGTACGTGGGCCTGGTCTGTGACCGGCGTCTGTGGACCTGGTCCATGACTGGGGTCTGTGGGCCTGGTTCGTGTCTGAGGCCCGCGGGCCTAGTACGTGGACCTGGTCTGTGACCGGCGTCTGTGGACCTGGTCCATGACTGGGGTCTGTGGGCCTGGTCCGTGTCTGAGGTCTGCGGGCCTGGTATGTGGGCCTGATCCATGACCAGATTCTGCGGGCCTGGTCCATGACCTTGGTCTGGGCACTCGTGACTGGCGCCGGCGCCCGGCGAGAGAGTTCGCCCTAGACGAGAACCGGGCGGCACCGAAGACACCGGTCCGCCTCTGTGTGTGCGAACGCCCGGCTGCGGTCAACTGCTATTGGCTACGAATCGCAGTGATCGATCGCGCTTTAGGTACCGTCGTGATGTTGCGTGGTGGCGTCTTCATGTTCGGGTGGCAATAGTTTGCACGAAGAGCAATCAACAGTTGAAAAGTGGCGTTGTCTTTTAGCTTTGATCGTGGGCTATAGCTGGTGATTGACTCGAGTGTTTATTTTACGGCCATGTGCTTGATTGGCCAGAGACAATTCTGAATGACACTGTGTTACAGCCAGGGTTTTGTAGCATCTGAACCACATGCGGAACACTAGCTTCCGGAAGCTCTTCGCGGAGTTTGGCTCCGTGCCCAGTGTATGCCGCGGCAGTTCGGGGTGCGGGATGAGCCTTGACGGCCTTACCCTTAGGACCCCCCAGGCCACATTGTGTTGGCAGTCAGAATGCTCTCTTTGTGTTTGTTAACAAGGACCTTCTTGGACTGTTGCAGTGCTCATTTGCTGTGACTCACTTGTTAATGTTTGTATTTTTGTACCGAAGTAATTGCTGAAATATAGTTCAGTATGCATTTGGTCACTTCGAGCCCTTCGTGCGTTGAATGTCGTGAAAAACGCTCTTCAAGTGCTTCCAGAAGCTGTAATACCTTTCGCGGCACCCGTATGGCAACATGAGGGAGGGGGCCTCCACCCACCTCTTGCAATAGCGCAACGTTATTAAAGTAATGCGTGGAAGATGGATTGAAGATTGAGTTGAAAGTAAAAATAGTGATGAGCTATGGCGTTGCCGTCGTAGCAATTAACCAGATGAAGACGTAAACTGACGGCACGCTGCAAGCGAATAGAGCAATCGACCGGACGACGTCAGGCGCCATCTTCTCCGAACCCAATCGCGACGGTGGGACGCCGTCGCATAGACCGAGAAAGGTTGGGTACAAAAATGGCGCAGACGCGCGGCTCTGTTCACTGGCCGGTATCCACCCGGAAAATTTACGGTTTTCGCTGAATTTTGGCCACAGTAGCCGAAAACTTAATGGAACAGTAGGATTCAAGCAGTGCGCTCTGAATTGCCGCGTTTTCTTATCGTGATGCGTATACCCTCGCCTGCCGCATATAGCCTAAGTCTTGTTTGTATATGAACTTATGAGTTTTCTTACGTCTGCTCCGCACCCCATTTCAATGATGCGACTCCCGTCCGTGTACATGCAAGTACCTCAACGCCGATGAAATACCAGGTACCATTAGACAACCTTGCGAATTGCATGTAAATAAAGGAAAATTTCGCAACAGGATACGCGGGGAACTTGTATTGCATTCCCTTAGTCTCATGTAGTCACGTCGCGCGGGCGCAGCCAAGGGAATGGGCCGGCCTCCCTCCCCCTCCCCCCCCCCGCCCTCCAGGATAAGGCCCGTGTTCATCTTTTAGCCCCATATGCGGCTTCTGACAGAAAGTTGAAAATTAACGTGGCGACTTATTGCTGAGCTTCGGTATCCCAAGAAAATCCTGGCTGCGCCCATTTCACGGGGCTTTGCAGATGTGTGCGGGTCGTTAAAGTGGCATACAGCGCAGTAGGTTCCAATGATGCGGCGGCATGAAACAAAAATGTGAGTCCTGGGATACGGATGACACAAAAATAGAGACAACGCCATGGTTTCAACTGAAGAAATAATATGTACTAAAAAAAGGAACTTGATATCAGTTTTGACTGAAATTGACTTGCAATGCGCTGGAGAGTGCTACAATTAAACATGTTCGTGTCAGAAATGGAACGCCGCTCTTATTTTGCAGTGCTTTAGCTGGAAAGAGCTCTTCCCCCCAGCAGCTGCTGCTACAATCGACAACATGTAAACAAACATGGCAGCTAATGCGGGTACGAGGACCACGAGAAAGAGAAAGTGTATTGTGCTTCAAGATGAAGACAAGGAAAAAGAGGAGGAAAAAAATCTGCTGAAGGACGTGAGTTTGAATACAAATGTCGCTTTCCAGTGTCTGAACAGGTCCAAGTTTGCTATCGGAGGCCGCCTGATCGTCGGGCGGCAAACTTGGCGCGCAAATCCCGGTCTACTTAGCTGTACGGGCAAGGAATATCTTAAATATATTGCTTAGTGTTCACTGCACACCTGTCATGTGGTGGAAATTTCCGTAGTGCCTATTTTGGTCAGACGAGGAAGATGTCGTGAATTATAAGTTTCAAGGGGTTTCTTCACAAGTGTGTTGGATTTATTATCATGAAATGCATTTGTCTATTCCCACTTCTTATTTGATCATCTTTTTTTGCTGGGAAAATGGTTTGGTCTTGGGGAAAATGGTTTAAAGTCTAATTGTTTATGCATGGGGAAAACATCATGGTTTTTCAGATTTGCCTTCTTATATCTGTTTTGCTGCCATTGCCAGTTCAGAAGAATTCAGGCTAGGTGGCATTGAATGAATACAGACCATCCTACCTTTATGAATGGATGCTTAGTTTGAGCCATTTTGGCATATCTTTCAGCTTAGGAAGATCTGATATGTTATATATTTTGTTAATCTGATGTAATGTTATGTATTGACTGTAGATTGGTGCTGGTCACAATAACTAGGTGGGATGTTTGTGTCCATGTTCATGTTCATGTCCATGTCTCATGTATTGCCAGGTATCCAGAAGGTGTTGTTCTAGTGCCCTAATTTATTAGTTTCTTGATTGTTGTGCAGGTTCAGCTTGATGAATTGCTTCAAAGTGTGACTTGGGAATGGAGGCCAAGAGCAGCTGTCTGCAGTTGAAACTTGGTCCCTTAACTGTATTCCTGCAACCCTAGATGATATTTGTGCACTCAGGATTGGTGTTGGCTGATTGATTGGATAATATCTTCATTGATCTAGATCAGCAATATGATCTCATGTTGTGGTGACCTCCCAAGGCACCTGTGCAGATGTTGAAGTCTTGGAAGTTCCTACCTGTTAATGTTAGCATACCTAAATGATAAACAGATTGGCAGTGACTTGGTCACACTAGGGATGTAAAAAGTTGTCATTGAATTTAGGTTATTGGGTTTTCTCCTCCCACCTCCTAATCCCACCAGACATTGTAGAATGTCTGGTCTTGTGTTAGTGACAAAACCAGCTCTAAAATGTTTTTGGTGCACACATGTCATGTTTTCAAAATAGGACAGCATGAAATGCACTGCTCACCAGTTGTTTTACATCAACACTGAAAACTGATGAGTGAGGCATTGTTGCTGCAACATTGCAGGAGCTGTAGTATTCTATTACCTCCTTTGATGGAGGTACATTAGCTCTGATGGCATGTGCTTTGTTCATCATTGTTTGAAGAAAATGCTAACATATGAAGGCCATATGGTAACAGGTTTGTTTGCCACATAATGATATATAGTTTCTCATGTTCTGACAAACTGCAGTTTTAGTATGCAAAATCCTGTTCTGACATTGGCCATGTTGCCCAGCTGTGTGATCATGCCTTAGAAAAAAGATAGTGTCATCTGTTTTGCTTGAAAAGTATTGGGTTACTACTTAGGAAGTTTTACAGCTTTTGAATATGTATGTCACTGTTATATTACCAGTCAAAACATAGTGCCTGGTGACAATTTGAAGTTGTAACTAATCTGCAGTTGCACAAGCCAAAGTGCTGCCAAGCCAAGCTTCAGCTGTCATGACTGCAATGACATAAATTTTACATAGCATCTTCTATGTTTAAAGGTTCTACAGACAAGCCTTGATGTGACAAAACTTCTACAGACAACATCATTACAGCACTTTTGTACTTTTGTACACAAGTACTTTTGTATAAGAAATCAACTACCAATAAACCTTCCACATCCAGTTCTTCTACAATGATGATTCTACCATCAAAATTTCCAGGTGCTAACTTCTGCAAACTTTTGTCATACACTAGAGTTATTTTAAGATAAAATTTATGCATGACTTCTGTTCCTACACAGCAAAACTGCTACAAACAAGACTCACACCCAATAACACTTCTTTGGATGAATCATCTGTCCAAAAATCGTTGATGCATCAAAAGTCCGTCAAATAGCACTTTTGGTGTCTGACCTTCCATGGACACTGCTTTTTACTTGGCATTACTCCTCTATGAGAGAATTGCCACAGACAAAACATCCATGTGACACTGCCTCTGTGGACTTTGGAATCGACTGAGATTTTGTCGCAGGGTTCCGGGTCAAAGCTGCTGGCACAGTGTCATTGGTGGCAGACACGAGATGTAATGCTGCTAGGATGGTTGCATGTGGAGTGAATACTTTTGGACGTGCCAGTTCGTGCTGGTTACTTTGGTAATTGTGCGCAGTCTCGCCCGGATCTCCGATGCTGACTGACGTAATTCGATCTGTTTATTTCTTGGACGTCTCGAAGGCGAAGGTCATGCCAAAGTCGTGTGTCACATATTTGCGCAACAACCACATTCAGAGGTGGAAAGGTGTGTTGCTACATCTTTGTGTCACAACCATGTACAAAGTCGGAAAGGTATTTTGGTAGATCTTTATATCACGACCATATACAAAGGCAGAAAGGCGGACGAAAAGGCCATGCGATGAACTGAACTTATGTTGCTGCGGGTGTGGTGGGTTCAAGATACCGAAAACAATCTCTGTTTGGACGTGAGCCTCTCAAAATCAGTACAGCCCATACTTGCGAACCACATGCTTGACGCGTCCTAAAACAACTTATCGACAAATGTCAATGTTTACATAACGCATTGAGCGGTTTGATAGCAATTTGGCCCAAGTTCATCGGAGTTGGGACAAACTTTGATATTTTTGCTCTCCCCGGAGGAAAATTGTGACGACACGTTTGACTAAAGCCGTTGGGAGTTTCTTTCCGGAAAAGTTTTGTTGTGTATAGTTAATACTACCTGAAAGTTTTCCCGCCGAAGGTTTGTTGCACAGATGACTTGCCGCAACCTGTTCGTCAATTGGTAGTTAAGTCTGGCAGGGAAGTTTTTTAGAAGTAACTTCACTGACGATTGTTGTGGGTTACCAGTTATGTTGTACAACACAAGCTTTGTTGTACTTTTGCCGAGCACCAGCTGCGCCATTATTCCGTGTAAGCCACGTTCTATATCTCGCCATTCATTGAGCGGGTGGGGCGCGAGGGGGCTCCGCTAAAGCATGGGCCATTGGAGACCGCAGCAAATTCCGTAGCAAATGTGAAGATAATGGACGTACCCAGATATATCAAGCCGGCATCCGGGGCGATCCGGCCAAACCCTTGGCAGTCTCCGTATCGGTTCGCGAAGGGGTGACTAGAAAACGGGGCTAACGCGAAATCAATGCCTCGCTGAGCGCAACTTTAGTGTTAGCGGTTGGTAGCGACCACTGGCTGAGTTCATTACATCTGCTGCGGTCGCCCATGGCGTCTGCTGCTGACGAATGGCTGCCGTGGTGATGACCCCTGGTGACCGTCGCTTGGCTGACAGTGACTCGGGTGACTCGGGCGGTGACTGGCGACGCGGGTGGTGACTCGGGCCTGTTGTCACTTACAGCTGACGGCCGGCCTGAAGAAGGCGCGCGACGAGCGAACCGACGCTGACCGGGCGCTGCTTCGGAAGTACCCGGATCACGTGATCCGCATACAGAAACGGTGAGCGAGGGGCCGGTGGGGAAACGGGCCGCCCTCGGACGGCTTCGGCTCAGGCGGAGCTTTTCATGCAGCGTGCAGATGTGGGTAGGATTGTCCATCGTTTGCAAATGGGGTTCAGTCGGCTGTGGTTGTGATGATGTCATACTTTTCTGGAAGAAGATTACTGCGAGTCCGGGAAAACCCGCCGGACCGGTATCGTCGCCGCCGGAGCCGGCTGACCGACTGCCATCTCGCGGCAGGCTGGAGAAGTACAGAAGCCGCAAAGCCCGCCAGGAGGAGTACGAGGAGCCGGAGTCGGTGATCGCCGACAAGAGCGCGGCGCTGGCGGAGGCCATCCGCGGCGCGCGCCACCTGGTGGTGTACACGGGCGCCGGCGTGTCGACGTCGGCCAGCATCCCGGACTACCGAGGGCCGGACGGCATCTGGACCCGGCTCAGCCAGGGCCGCGGCGTCGGGTCAGTGCTGGCGGCCGGCGGCGCGCGGCCGGGGCGGGAGGGGCGCGGCGGCGGGGCGGGGCGGTAGCCGGCACAAGGACACCGGCGAAGTGTGCCGCGGTAGTCACAGCACGGTGGTCACTGGTGGCCTGTTGCAGCTGAGCGCCGTTCGCCAGCCTTCCGTGAGTGCTTCCGCCTCCGTTTAGGAGATCATGTCGTGAACTGGGGTGGGAAATCACCGGAGGTTGTTCTGTGAGCAGAGACATCACCGGACCCGGTCATTGGTACCGAAATTGGCAATGACGGCGTGGTCACTGGATCAGTGCACTGGACGCCAGACGCTGGCCACAGGCGATCGCTCCGCGCCAGGGCACGCCCGGCCGCAGCTCGCTCGCTGCTCTGCGGCCGGCGCGGCCGGTGACCGGGTACGGTCTCTGACACAGGCAGCACGACCTGACGGCGGCCGACCCGACGCCGACGCACATGGCGCTGTACGGCCTCTGGCAGCGCGGCATGGTGCGGCACGTGGTGTCGCAGAACTGCGACGGCCTCCACCTGCGCTCGGGCCTGCCGAAGCGCAACATGTCGGAGCTCCACGGCAACATGTACCTCGAGGTGGGCGGAGACGTCCCGTGCTGTCCCGGCAGGGTCGTGCGGGGCCGGTTTGGCGGCGGTAGCGCTGGTGGTCAGGCTGGGAGCGGACGGCGGTCTGCGGCGGCGTGGTGTTTGAAGATCGATTGTGCGGGTGTGTTGTTGTTAAAGACTGGCTTGCTGAACATAATGCGATTGTGTGTTGGTGTGTCTTTCTGCACTGTGTAGTGAAGATGGGCCATCTTTTGCAAGTTTGCCATGATCTTGTCGCGGGATAACCCATGCGCTGGCCCAACTAAACAGCGTCAGCCTTTTTATCGCTGGTGCATATTAGTCTGTGAAGTGGTAATTTTTTGCTGGAATGTTGGGCATAGTGCGTAGCTCATCTCCCAGGTACTGTTTAACCCCGGCCGACGGCAGCGTGCCCTCCCCCCTCCCCCCGTCAGGCTGCCTCCCCGTCTGACCGCCTGGCGGCACCCCTGCAGGTGTGCGCCAGCTGCCCGCGCCAGTACGTGCGCACGTTCGACGTGACGCCCAAGACGTCCCGCCAGAACCACAAGACCGGTCGCAGGTGAGGCTCCCCCCTGGCGGCGGCGGCGAGGACCGACTCCAGGGCGGTGGAGCGGCCCGGCTCCGAGGGGCTGGCTTCTGACCGGGCGTTCGGGCCCGGTGGGGACGCCGACTCGAGGGGTTCGCTCAGTGGTGGAAGAACAGGCGATGTGCGATCTGAGGTTGTGTTATGCTTCACTCGGCGCGTCGGACCGCAGCTGATTTGGTCGACGGTGTCGGTTCCATTGGGGCGATCGGTGTTCTGGAGTGGTGTGATCTCTCAGTGGAAATTTCGGCCATGTGGCTGAGTGAGTGGGCCGGTCCTGGCTGGGCATGTTTCTCGTCCCTTTCACACGGTCACCTCTGCCATCTCCCTCCCTTCCCTCTTATGTGTGTCGGGTCAGGTCACCGAGCACCCCGCACGGGGCGTATAGCTCACTTCCTAGCGTCGCCCCGCCCCTCCCGCCCCGTCCCCCTCCACTCTGTCCGCCCCGTCCCCCGCCGCTCTGTCCGTCCCGTCCCCCGCCGCTCTGTCCGCCCCGTCCCCCTCCGCTCTGTTCGCCCCGTCCCCCGTCGCGGTGTGCCGCTCTGTCTGTCCCGTCCCCCGCCGCTCTGTCCGCCCCGTCTCCCTCCGTTCTGTTCGCCCCGTCCCCCGTCGCGGTGTGCCGTTTTGTCTGTCCCGTCCCCCGCCGCTCTGTCCGCCCCGTCCCCCTCCGTTCTGTTCGCCCCGTCCCCCGTCGCGGTGTGCCGCTCTGTCTGTCCCGTCCCCCGCCGCTCTGTTCGCCCCGTCCCCCGCCGCGATGTGCCGCTCTGTTCGCCCCGTCCCCCGCCGCGATGTGCCGCTCTGTTCGCCCCGTCCCCCGCCGCGGTGCGCCGCCCCTCACGGTCTGGTCGGCCTCTGCCGCCAGGTGTTACGAGTGCGCCACGCCGCTGATCGACACGGTGGTGCACTTCGGCGAGCGCGGCAGCCTGCGCTGGCCGCTCAACTGGCGCGGCGCCAGCCGGCAGGCGCGCAAGGGTGACGTCATACTGTGCCTCGGCAGCAGCCTCAAGGTGCGGCGGCTGGCGGGCACGGGCACGGGACCGGAACTGAAACTGAGACCGAGACAAAGACCGGGACTGGAACCGGGCACAGGATCTGGACCGGGCATGGGACGGGGCACGGGACCGGGGCCGGAAGTTGAACTGAGACTGAGACTGGGACCGGGACTTGGACTTGGACCGGGGCCGCGGCCGGGACCGGGCACGGGACCAGAGCCGGGCACGGAACCGGGACCGGGACTGATGTGCGGAGCACTGCACTTTTTCCGAACCGTCTTTCCAGCCAAGTGACCTGTCTTAACAGCGTTCTGCTGTGCCGTACGAGTGCCGCCCGTGCAGCCCCTCGGAGCCGCGTCTGGCCTGTCGCGATGGCCGAGCCCTCCCGCAGCGACCAGTGCGGGGCTGGCCGGGAGACCCGCCGGCGGCGGAGGTGCCGCTGACGCCCGCCGCCGCCGGCAGGTGCTGCGCAAGTACAGCGGGCTGTGGTGCATGCACCGGCCGCCGCACAAGCGGCCGCGGCTCTTCATTGTCAACCTGCAGTGGACGCCCAAGGACGAGGCGGCCGCGCTCAAGATACACGGTGAGGCGCCGACGACGGGCGGGGGAGGGGCGGCGGCGGGGGGGGGGGGGGCTTGAGTGGCTAGCTCAGGGACAGGTCGTGCTGAGGGGCTGTGTACTCGGCCAGCAAATGGGGTGGAGACCAGAGGTGTGGCGGTGGTTTGGGGCTGGACTGTCGAAGGCTGACAGCTGGGTTGGCGTGAGATTGGGGCAGGCCTTCTTTCACTACTCCAGCCAGTCTGTGTGTGCAACCCGTGTGCGTTCGTGGCGGCCGTTTCGTCGTGTCGAAACCCGCCCGAGTCTTGGCAAACCGCCGATGTGGAGAAGTACCAGCGTGGCGTGTTGTTCCCGCACCTACCCGTTCTTGTCACTGCGGCAAGTTACGGCCCAGCGCGCGTGATTACGTATCGCGCCGCTGCGGTCCTGTATCCTCGATGTTGTCGAAGCTTTGTCACTTGATGGTCGCCACGTGACCTGACCTGACCTGGCGCTGCGCCGCGCCGCGCCGCGCCGCAGGCCGCTGCGACGACGTGATGGTGCGCGTGATGGAGCACCTGGGCCTGCCGATGCCGCAGTACTCGCGCGCCACCGACCCGCTGTTCCGCCTGGCCACGCCGCTGCATCGGAGCGAGGCGGTACCGCGCTATTGCCTGACGCGGCCCGACACGCCGCCCGGCGCCGACGACCAGCTGGGGACGACCGCCGCCGGGCCGCCGCCGCACGCCGGCGGCCGGAGGCAGGCGGCGTCGCGCTGGGGTCGCCCCGAGGCCGGCGCCGGGGACGAGCCGGCGACGGCGCCGGGCCGGTCTGCCGAGGTCAACACCGAGCCGGGGTGGCCAGACGAGCCGGCGGCTGCCGAGCAGGAGCGGTCCGGCCACCTCAGGCAGGCGGGCGAGCCGGCGCCGGCGCCGGCGCCGGAGCGGCGCGCCGCCGGCCCGGTGGAGTGGGCCGTCTCGCCGCAGAGTCCGCCGCTGCTGCCGCCGGAGCGGGCGGCGGCCGGCCGCTCGCTGCTGCTGCGCACGCTGCTGGCCGGCCGGCCTCCGCCGCCGCCGCGCCGCGCCGCCAGCCCGCCCGCCGCCCGCGACGCCGGCCGCTCCTGCTCGGGCCGCGGCCGCGTCCCGGAGAGCGCCGCCGGCAACGACGGCCGTGGCGGCGACGCCGGCCGGCAGGAGCCGGGCGCCGCGTCGCCGCCGGCCTGCCACGTGACCGAGCTTCAGGACGCGCCGTCGCCGCCGGCCTGTCACGTGACCGAGCTGCGGGACGCGCCGTCGCCGCTGGCGTGCCACGTGACCGAGCTGCGGGACGTGCTGGTGCAGACGGACCCGATCGAGTGGCGCGAGGACGAGTTCACCATCATCGAGGGCTTTGAGCAGGCGGCCTGCTCGCCGCCGCAGGCCAGCGCCGACAGGTGAGGCTGGGACGCCGGCGCCGGTCGCTCCAGCCGCCGGGCGGCGCCGCCTGGCGGGCGCGGCGCGCTGCAAACGCACCGTGTCGTCGGCAGACGGGATCATGGGGTGGGAGTTAGCCTGCAGGTGCGGATGTGCATGCATTACTCTAAAGTGTAGCATGTATGTTCTGTGTGTGTGTGTTAGCATTGAGCACATGGTGTCTGAAGTTATGGGCAATCAGATGCAACCATTTCATTCATGTAAGCTCATGATTATGATCTGATGGCGTTTGATGTTGGGTTGATGGCCTTCCCAGCAATAAGCTGAAGAGTTGACCTGACCCAGGCCATACTCTGACCATGTGACCTGACCCGGCAGCAGCGTGACCTCGGACCCAGGTCACAGTCTGCTCATGTGACCTGACCCGGCAGCAGCGTGACCTCTGACCCGGGCCACAGTCTGACCATGTGACCTGACACGGCAGCAGCGTGACCTCTAACACGGGCCACAGTCCGACCATGTGACCTGACACGGCAGCAGCGTGACCTCGGACCCGGGCCACAGTCTGACCATGTGACCTGACCCGGCAGCAGCGTGACCTCGGACCCGGGCCACAGTCTAACCATGTGACCTGACCCGGCAGCAGCGTGACCTCTGACCCGGGTCACAGTCTGACCATGTGACCTGACCTGGCAGCAGCGTGACCTCGGACCCGGGTCACAGTCTGACCATGTGACCTGACCCGGCAGCAGCGTGACCTCTGACCCCGGCCACAGTCTGACCATGTGACCTGACCCGGCAGCAGCGTGACCTCGGACCCGGGTCACAGTCTAACCATGTGACCTGACCCGGCAGCAGCGTGACCTCTGACCCGGGTCACAGTCTGACCATGTGACCTGACCTGGCAGCAGCGTGACCTCGGACCCGGGTCACAGTCTGACCATGTGACCTGACCCGGCAGCAGCGTGACCTCTGACCCCGGCCACAGTCTGACCATGTGACCTGACCCGGCAGCAGCGTGACCTCGGACCCGGGTCACAGTCTAACCATGTGACCTGACCCGGCAGTAGCACGACCTCGGATCCGGGTCACAGTCTGACCATGTGACCTGACCCGACAGCAGCACGACCTCGGACCCGGGCCACAGTCCGGACGGGCGCTGCTCAGACCTCTCCCACATCCGCCTGCTGGACGGGGACCGCAGCCAGTTCTGCCTCAGCGACGACTGCCTGGACCAGCTGAGCTCCAGTGACGTCATCTTCATCGACGTGACGTCGACGGCGCCCGGTCTGATGGACCACGACTACACGCGCGTCACCGCCGGTGAGTGCGGCTCGGCCGGGCCGGCAGCGGCATGGCCCCGAATCACGGCGGCGGCTGCAGGATGGGACGTCTTCAGCCGACGGTGCTGATATGCCAACACAGCTCGGACGGCTGTGGGACGCAGGTCATGTCACCAGGATAATGATGAGGCGACCACGGTGCGGCACGTGGCGGGGTGGCTGGAAGGAGTGATGTTCGGACGCTGCGACCGAATTTGCGTTTTCTTCGTAATAACCTAGTTTCAGTTCAGGTATCCCCTGGCCATGGTTTTTGCAGAGAGTGGTGGTAATTGCAAAAAAACCTTGTGTCGTTATTTCTCGTTTATCGCGTGTCGTCGCGACGTCATCTCATTTTTAGTCCCGTTTCCACTTGTCCGCGCCCTGAGAGTGCCGCGCGTACCGCGCATACCGCTGTGGTTATCGGAGCGTGTGCCATATACCGTACCTTACCGTACGCCATATGCAGTAGCGCCCTCGAAGTAGTACGGCTCGCCGTTACGTTCCCGCTCCCCGTCCTTCTCCGCGTCATCCGCTGACGCCAGCCGATTGTTCCTCGACAGTGGAGTGCGGCGGAGGAGGCCGGCGGGGGGCGTCTCCGGAGGGGCGCCGCTCCCCGGCCCGCAGCGGCCGGCGGACGCCGGAGCCGGGCGGTCGGCGTCGCTCCAGTCCGGCCCCGGCGCCGGGCGGCACGGCCGCCGACGCCGCCGACCGGCTGCAGTGGCGGCGCCGGGCCGACGCCGGCTCGGCCGAATCGGAGGAGGACGGTGACGGAAGTCAGGCGGAGTTGGGGGTCCGATGTCGTGGGGGTCTGGCTGAGTCGCGGAGCGGGGACGGCGGGAGCCAGTTCGACTCGAAGGGCGAAGATGGCGAGAGCAGGGGCGAGTCACGGGGCCATGACAGTGAGAGTCGAGTCGAGCTGCAGGGCGATGACAGTGGGAGTCAAACGGAGTCGCGCCTGGGCGAAGATGGTGGGGGTCACTGCGAGTCGCAGGACGAAGACGGGGAGAGCCATGACGAGTTGCAGGGAGAGGATGTCGCGAGTCAAACGGAGTCGCAGGCCGGAGATTGGCAGGATGACGACGACATGAGTCGATCAGGATCCCAGCATGAGGAGAGCACATGCTCGATCGCGTGGGGCGGCTTCGAAGGCGAGAAGAACGACACGAGTCAGGACGGCGACGTCTTGAGTCGGGACGCGTGGGTCAGCGCGAGTCAACGCGAGTCGCTGGGCTGGGGCGACGGCAGCCAAATGGAGTCGCAGAACGCATGCGACGGAGGCGATGCGAGTCCCATGGAGTCGCACGGTGCGGACGCCGGTGGAGTCGACGCGCGGAACGGAGACTGCTCGAACCGGGACGCGTGGGTGGACGCGAATCAGAGCGAGTCGCTGGACGGCGCGAGCTCGAGCGCGTACGACCCGTTCAACGACGAGGGCCAGCCGGGCTCGCTGGGCGCCGGACCGAGCCGAGCGCGGCGTGGCGGCGGCTCGCCGGACGGCGGCGAGGCGGGCGAGCTGGCGGAGTGGGCCGCCGGCGGCCGGTGCGAGCCGCTGGCGTGGCTGGAGGAGGACGGCGGCGACGAGCAGGGGCGGCCGCGCCGTTCGGGCCGCGCCTGCTCGCGCCGCCAGGTCAGCTACCGCGAGCAGTCGACCGACTCGGAGACCGACTCGAACGCCTCGGACCTGACCGAGCCGGAGCCGAGCGGCGGCAGCGGCGCCAGCAGCAGCGACACCGCCAGCTCGTCGGAGGAGTCGGACGCCGCCGACTACGTGCGCTTCCAGGCGGTGTTCCGCGTATCGCGCCGGCTGCTGAAACCGGTGCTGGCGGCGGCCGACGACCAGCCGTCGGCGTCGGCCGGCGCCGGCTGGTACGGGCGCGGCTGCAAGGCGCGCCGTAAGCAGCGGCGCGCCCGCTAGGCCGCCGCTCTGCGGCAGCGGCGGTGGGACGCGGCGCCCCCGGCGCTGGACGGCCGCCCAGCGCCGGCGGGCGGCGCGCGACGTGTGCTCAAAAGGCTCTGCGTGACGCGCGGCCGGGCAGCGCCGCGCGATCTCAGTTCTGCCTGCGCTAACCGCCGCCGGCTGAAGGTTCCTGTTGCGTCAGCTCCCCGCCGCCGCGCGACGCTCGACGCCTAGCTGGCCGGTGGAAGCAAGACAGGTGGAGGTTGTGCTAATCATGCCTCGCTGATATTCGCGTGTTCTGTCTGCGGTCGCATAGCTAGGCTGCATCGTGTCGAAGCCATCGACATCGTCAGTTTTGCCGTGACTGATCATGTGTAGCAACATTGCTAACGCTGTATTGGCGTGCCGTTGTGTCCGATTGCCCCTGCGAGGGCCCCCTCGGCGGTGCCGACTACCTCCGCGTCCGCGGCGGCCGTCCGGCCGCCCGGAGCGCTCGGCGGCGCGCGAGCGCCGCCGAGCGTTACAAACAGAGTTTGTACCGCCCGCGCACCCGCCCGCGCGACCTCCTGTGTTTACACAGCACGAGACGACCAAAGCGTCCCGCCGGCCGGCCGGGCGCAGCCGACGCCGGCGCCGGCCGGGCCCCGACCCCGCCGACGGGCAACCGCCGAACCTCAGCCGATACTTCCTCCGCCGTTGGACACCGCCTCCTGCCAAGCGTGCGCGGCCGCGTGTTGTGGCCCGGCAGGGCCTGGGAAATCGTGTACCGGGGCGGCCGGCGGCCGCGGCCGCGTTCGCGCCGCGCCGCGCCGCGCCGCGCCGCGCCGCCGGCCGCCTACCGCGTTGTGATACGTGTTCGCATGCGTGACGTGTGCGCGTCTTTTGTACCCCGATGCTCTGTGGTCTCTGAATCAGATCGTCTCTGATTGGCCCGTGTCTCTGGCCGTCTGCGCTGCGTTGTGGGCGAGGGTCGGGTGAGAGGCAAGCGATTCGTCCAGGGCATTGAGAGATGAAATGTGACAGAGGCATACGGAAAGGAGTCCACGTACATTTGGTAGCGGTCGTCAGAAGGCGAAGAGAAAGGGTCCTACATGCAGTTCGGGCATTAGCATCGGGCTTCACGACGTATGCGGTTGCTGGGGTACATAGCGTCGCCTGCCTCTCACCCTGACAGGAAGGGAGGGCTTCGTGGGGCATCGAACCACGTACCTTTGGTTTCCCAGAGCGCAGTGATGTGTATATAAATATTCACTAGGTCATATATATATATATATATATATATATATATATATATATATATATATATATATATGCACCTAGTGAATATTCACTGGGTCACACAAACAGTGACCCAGCCTGTGTTAACACAGGCGCGTAAACCGCTACGCTATCAATCCAGTTCGAGCATCGAGTCGAAGCAGTTCGAGTTCGAGTCGAAGCAGTTCATCGAGTTCGAGCACCAGTTCGAGTCCAGGCCACAGGCGCCGCCGAGCGAGGAGAGACACGTGCCGCGAGACCGCGAGGGGTCTGGCAAATGTATTTTTCTGTCACTTTGCACAACGAGCTGTGCCCGGTTCATTTGTTGCGACGCGATTTACTAAAACACGAACAAAACATCCGAATCTGTGTAACTCACAATGGCAGTATGCGCATGAAGTATCAACGTGGCAGTGAATAATGCACGCACACTTCAGTCAAACCGGGCTCTCGCTACGCCTGATATCTGACTTGAGAAAACTGGCGCGCCGAATTAAGGCCACTCGGAACAGGATCACTCGCACCAAACAAGCGAACACAACGCGCGCGCTCTGGCACGCGGCACGCAGCACGCCGCGGGATGTCTCCCCACTGCCGGGCATACCGGGGCGGGCAGCGGCGGCGGTACTGTTCGGGACGCTCCCTGCCGCGCGGGGCATGACGGCGTCTTGAGGTCAACACCCTCGGCCACGGTCGCCGCGGGCGTTCCAGGACCGCGATAAGGCACGGCGCGAGTCCCGCGAATGACGAGAGGAGCTCGGGTGCCGGCTGTCGCGGTTCCCACGTGAGACACACCGGCCAGCGCGTCCCCGTCGGCGTCCGGGGGGGGGGACCACACGGACCGGCGGCGCGCGGGTCATCGGATCACAGGACGGCATCACACGACCGGGACGGCGCCGCCGCCAGCACGGGGCGCAGGCGGGGCCGGCCGTGGCGGCGGCCCCACCGGCGTCCCCGGCCAGAGGGCGCGGCGGGCAGGCGCGCGGGCCGCCGCCTCAGGGCGCGCCGGGGCAGGTTCGCCTGTCGTGGCCCAGCTGCTGGCAGGAGCGGCAGCGGCGGGCCCCTCCGCGGCCGGCGGGGCGTGCCCTCGGGCCGGCGCCCCGGCCGCGACCGCGGCCCCGCCCCCGGCCCCGGCCCCGGCCCCAGCCCTGGCTGAAGCCTGCCGAGGTGAGCGGTGTGTCAGACGATTGGGCGGAGACGACGCGTCGGTGGTCGAACGTTGCCGCGTCAGGGATAGAGATCGCATGAGACAGGCGCGCCCGGGAGCTCCGCGCAGCACACACCGGCAAAGCAGACCACACAAAATGCATCGATACGTCTCATGTGACAGCCGGGAGTACTGATTACGATACATCACCCAGTGGGAGAAGTGACGGTCACCGTTCCCAAAGGTCGGATCCCCGCCCCCTCCGATGGCCGGCGGGGACCCCAGGCGAAGACCACTGCGCCCCGGTCCCTCGCCCGGCCCCCTCCTGCAGGTGATGCCACCGGTGGGTAGGCACCCGGGCACCGCGGATCTGTCAGCCCATCGGCCCCACCAGCCCGCCAGTCAACGGCCGGGCTGGCGCGGCGCCACTGCCGGCTTCCGAGCGCCCGCCGCGTGACGTTCGAGGCCCGCCAGCCGCGGCGCACCGTCCCACCGGAACCGCGGCAGCCAGGACCGCGCCCGGTGACGCCAGTCATCCGGCCGCAGTCAGGCAGGAGGCGGTCGCGCTGACCACGGCAGACCCACGCTAAATGAGGGACCCGAGCCGAGCTGACCCCGATATACCTGCACCAAGCCAGACCCGAGCCGAGCTGACCCCGGCAGACCTGTACCGAGCGGGAGACCCGAGCCGAGCTGACCCCGGCAGACCTGCACCAAGCGGGAGACCCGAACTGAGCTGGCCCCGGCAGACCCACACCGGGCGAGAGACCCGAGCCGAGCTGACCACGGCAGACCCACACCAAGCGGGAGACTCGAGCCGAGCTGACCCCGGCAGACCCACACCAAGCGAGGGACCCGGGCTGGGCTGACCCCGGCACTGACCCTGCAGCCCGAGCTGGGCTGACTCCGGCACTGACCCTGCGGCCCGCCGGCCGGCGCCGATGACGGCTCGTCACACCACTGGAAGAAGCGGCAGCTCTCGCTGCGCGGCTTGGAGCAGCCGAGGAACTCGCGGCCCCGGTTGGGCCCCTCCTTCTGCACCGTGCACCTGCCGAACAGCGCAGGTCAGCAGAGCGGAGCGCCACGGACACAGAACGGCGGACCGTAGTCCGGTTGACAGCTGACTGAATGGGTTACGGGCAAGCGGCCATGGGTTCGAGTCCCACTGAAAGCAGATTTTTCCAGAATGCCGGCACGCTCGCGGCTAACGATCTCTCTTCGGGCTCAAGTGGAAAAGAACAATGCACACATATATCGCAGCATTAAGATCAAAATGCTTGCAAAATAAAGCGCGTGGTGAAATTGAGTGGGAAGTGCGTTTTCCTAACATGTACGATATAACGCATTCTTTGCGTTCGGTTGCGTGAATGGCGGCATTTACACATCTGTCGGCAATATGTCGGATTTCGTCAACTGAATTTCAACGGCGGCGTTTCCACTAGGCCCAGTTTACTCTCAACACGCCGGTGAAAATTGATGTCGGTGGTGTTAATCCCCGTTCTTCCACCTGCTTATCTACCCAGCACGGTACGTACCAAAATCTGCGTATTCGAACGCAGCTTCCTCAACATGCAAAAGCCAAAGCCAAGCCGACTGCTCGGTGGCTGACGTCACCCACTCACCGTCGGGGCGGCAGGCCGCAGTTGCACGTGACGTCATCCTGTCCGCCGGGCGCGTCACCTGAAACGGCGGGGAGGCGGCCGCGTGACGGGGCGGTCGGCGGCGACGGCGGACCCTCGCGCCCGACAGCGGGGCCGCGTCACGCACCAGAGCCGGCTGACGGAGAGACGTGCGGCACACTGAGCCCCCCACCCCCCCCTCCCCCGGATAACACCGAGCGCGAGCCGAGCGTGGAGTCTGCCGAGCGTGTCCTGCCATGCGCTGCCAGCGTCGGGGCAAAGCAGCGTCGACACTCCACCAGCCGCTCGGTGACGAGACCGCGGCGGCCCTGTTGCGTGCTGAGCCGGCCGTCGTGGCCGACCGATGGCCGACCGCGCGCCACGCGGCCCCGGCCGCCGCCGCCGCCGCCGCGGGGGGCAGCAGCAGCTGACTCGGCCAGCGTACCGGGCAGATGCGGCGAGGAGCCGGGCAGCGCCGCCGCCGCCGCCGCCGCGGGCCCGTCGTCCGCCCACAGGAAGAAGTTGCAGCCCTGGCCGGGCGCCGAGCCGGCGCCGCACTTGTAGAACTGTCGACCTAACAGCACGGACGGAGGCGGCGTTGGCACCGGCGGACGGCGGGCGGCGGCCCGGGGCAGGGCCACATGCCCCCCCCCCCCCCCCCCAACACAGACGCCGAGGTGTCCCACCGACGACTGGAAGCATGGTGGACAGCAGCGATGGAAGCAGCCAAGAGAGCCAGAGGCGGGACGGAGCGGGGGTGGGAGGCGTGCAGGTGGAGCGGAGGCGTGCGTGGCTTCTTGACGGCAGCACGGCTCTGCAGAGGCCGGGGAGGGCGGCAGGAGTGCTGGTGCGCCCTGGTAGACATACAACCAGGGTGCCAGGCGGCGTACACTGATCTAATTATGCCTAAAGAACAGTACTACGCGCCTTACTCCCCGTTGCACAATGACCAGAACAAATGTGATGTTTCGGCTACAAGCCTTTGTCGAAACATTGATGAGCAGTGAAATATTGTTGAATCATGAATAACTCCTTAGCAGTGAATTACTAATGAATAGTGAATTGCTGCCATCACTGCTCAGCAGTGATTCAATCCTAAACGATGTTTCGACAACTGCCTGTAGCCGAAATATCGCACCAACATACATCTCTTTCACATTGCCATTTTTCAAAACCTTGAAAATGTTCTACAGTACCGCCCTATGCATGTGTAATGTTCCTCGCGGCTGAACTAAGCAACTGATGCGTCTTATTAGTTCAATTTATTTAACTATTATTCTATTACGTTCAATCTTATCATATTCACAGCTACTTCGCCGCAGGAAACATTTCTTTGGCCCGGAAACGCGTAGTCCACGGCCGCTACGCCCTGAGCATACCCCCTGCGATGTCCTCCTATCACGGTGGGTGCGCGCGTGGTCCAGGCTTGACGGTTGCCAAACCTGCCCTTACCGACCTCCATGACCCGGCTGATCCGGGGGTCGCCCACCTTTGTTCGGCCCCTCCTTCCGGACGGTGAGCTGAAGCGCCGGCTGGCCGCAGTCGCACACGGCGCCGTTCTCGCCGTCGCCGACCGACGGGGCGGGGCCTCCCGCACGCGGCGGCCACCGATTGGTCGCCGCAAATGGACGCAGTTGGCTGGCCGGAGCTGCTGTCGCACGTGATTGGCTGAAGGGTGTCGCTGCCGGTCTCTGATTGGCAGCGGCGGTGGCCAGACGTGATTGGCTGGAAGACGTCCCCGCAGGACGTGATTGGCTAAAGGGCGTCGCCGCCGGCCGCTGATTGGTGGCGGCGCTCGGCCGTGACTGGCTGTTGGATGTTACCGACGTGCGTGATTGGGTGAGTGAGCTGCCGTATCCGCTGTCTCCCGACCGCTGACTGGCACCTGCAGCATCACAAACGGGTCACGCTCCTGACCCCGCGACCATCGAGTGCGCCTCAACTGCCGTCTTATCACCAGAACCGCATCAGTCAATGAGCCGCATACCACCGTGGAGGCCATTTCCCAGCACACAACTACAGACGACTTTCACACGCGACGCGGCGCAGCGCTCCAGGCAACCAGACGATTTGGCAACCAGCAACCAGACGATGCGCCTTTACCGGCGCGGCGTGACGGACAGCATCTGACCTCCGTCCCCACTTCCACCACCGCCACCAGCACCTGCGCCGCGGTGCGGCCGTCAGACGGCCAGCCGGCCGGCGCCGCCACTCACCGGCGCCCGGCGCCGGCGCCGCCAGCGGCCGCAGCCCCACCGTCTCCATGAACTCGGCGTCGCAGCCGCCGACGCAGGCCGTGTGCCGGCGCGGGTAGTAGGGCGCGTAGGCGGCCGCGCTGAACGTGAAGTCGAGCAGGCGCGGTGCGCCGCGGCAGCGCTCGCAGCGCCGCCCGCTGGCCGACAGCGCCTCCACCGTCGCCGGCATCCACATGTGCACGCGGCAGGCCGGGAAGGCCGAGCACGAGAGCAGGAAGCCGGTGCCCTCGCGACGCGTCTGGCGGCGCGAGCGCGGCGCGCGTTAGACGCCGGCTGGTCGGCAGACGAGATCCGCCATTGGTGTGTGCGTGCCGTTACAGACGGGATACGCGATGGATGTGTCGGCTACAGAGTTGGACATGTCTTGCTGCATGCAGATCGTATGACAGGTGCACGTTATTACACACCGGTATTCACCGCGTGAAGCCGATTGTAACACGAAATAATAACACAAAAAACATAACAATTTATAATCGTAACAAAAAATGACGTCAAAATGAAACGAAATTATATCGAGTGAAGTACACCTGCTTCAAATGTCTTCGCAATAAACTAAAATACACACAAAAATGGGTCAAAAGAAGCTGGCCAGCGCCTGACCTTGATGATGATGGGCTGGCCGCAGCCGGGGCACTGACAGACCGTCTCCGGCACTTGCAGGTCGACGCCGACACCCGGCGCGGCGCCGGCCGTCGGCGCCTCCCCCAGGTACGGCGACAGGGCCTGGTCCAGCTTCTGCGCCTGCGGGCCGGGCACGACACACGGCTGGTGACCGGGCGGGGCAGGGCAGGGCACGCGGCTGGTTACCGGGCAGGGCAGGGCACGCGGCTGGTTACCGGGCAGGGCAGGACACGCGGCTGGTGACCGGGCGGGGAGCGCAGGGCACGCGGCTGGTGACCGGGCGGGGAGGGCAGGGCACGCGGCTGGTGACCAGGCAGGGCAGGGCAGGGCACGCGGCTGGTTACCGGGCAGGGCAGGGCACGCGGCTGGTTACCGGGCAGGGCAGGGCACGCGGCTGGTTACCGGGCAGGGCAGGGCACGCGGCTGGTGACCGGGCGGGGAGGGCAGGGCACGCGGCTGGTGACCGGGCGGGCAGGGCAGGGCACGCCTGTTTCGGGCACGTCACCTCCAACACACAGCTTTAGGACGGACGAGGCGGCCTCTCGCCAGGCTCACACGCCCACACAGCGCATCCGTACCAACCAGAACTTCGCTGCGCTGCTGCTTACACGAGCGCGAAGCGCGCGTAGGAACTCTCAACTCATCAACATAAGCCCATCCCATTAAGACAGCATTGTCCAGCGCTTTGGAGACCACACGACAGAGCGCCGCCTGTCCCAGAAGCCTGACAGGTGGCGCTGCCCCCCGGCGCCGCCGTCGCCGCACCTGTCTCATGGCCTCCTCGAAGACGCCCCGGTACCGGTCGATCTGCTCGCGCAGCACGGTGTCCGGGTCGCGCGTGCCTTCACAGATCCTGCGCCCGCCAGAGCGGGGGTCAGGGCGGTGGAGAGGGGGGGGGGGGGGGGGGGCAGAGCGAGGGACGGTTCGGAGTACAGGTGGAACAGGAGGTCAAAGGATAGGGAAAATGAAGAAAAATATAGAAGACTGGGACATCGGAGAGGAAACACGGGACCAGGACAAAACAAGCAAATAAGGGGGATGACACGGACAAAGAGCTGGGTGAGTAAGGGTTCGGAGCCAGGGACGGGGTGAGCTTTGAGATCCAAGTATAGACTGTCACAACAAAAATAAGACAGTGAGCATACGTATGTAAACATGGAAACCGTGTCAGCAAATAAAGACGTACCAATTATCGACGTACAAAGCATGTAGCGCCATAAAAATACTTAAACCTCAATCCAATTACACGAATCTGCCCATTTATCCATCCCCTGAACCTTGTAGACATGCAATACTCCACGGTTTTGAGAACTAAACGTACCGGCGCCTGTTACCATACAATCACACCATACAAACAGACCATCTCGACCATCACTGCCCACCACCCATCGGCCACCTCAACCATCACTGCCCACCACCCATCGGCCACCTCAACCATCACTGCCCACCGCCCATCGGCCACCTCAACCATCACTGCCCACCGCCCATCGGCCACCTCAACCATCACTGCCCACCACCCATCGGCCACCTCAACCATCACTACCCACCGCCCATCGGCCACCTCAACCGGCCCCGGCCGGGCGGCGTCGGCTCATCTCACCGCTTAAGGTCGGCCTCCAGCTCGGCGCGCAGGTTGGGCTTGGACATCTGGAAGCCCATGCTGTCGTAGCCCTCCACCAGGCCCATGCCCAGCGTGCCCGGCGTGAACTTGTTGTCCTCGAGTCCGACGTACAGCCGCGACTTGATCGTCTCTATGTGGTCGGCATGCGTTGCGTCCGTGCCTGCGCAGAGTGGTCCGGTCAACCTCGTCCCCGTGCCCCCTCCTTCCCCCGTCCTCTCGCAGTTCGAGCGCGCACGCCGCGGCCGTCTCAGCGAGCATCGGCCGCCGGTCTTGCCACTCGCTCTCAACCCGCGCGTTCGAGCCGAGCGACGTGTCGCACGTTCGCTCGTCTTCCCGTCACGTTATCGTCCGGCGCGGCCGTACCCGCCCGCTGCTGAGCGGCGACCGCCTTCAGGCGACCCGCCCGCCCCCTGTCGCGCGGCATAAGCGGCGCTCCGCACACGGTATGGTGTGCGGCGAGAGTCAATGGCGGCGCCGCCTGCCGTGAAGCGCGGCGCGGCGGCCGTGCATCGAGGCGCGCCGCCTGCCCTGCAGCGAGAATCGCTGCCCTTTTTAACGTCACCGTACCGAAACAACCCGGGCTTCTCTGAAACAGACTCAACACTGATTTGGCAGCTCATAAACAGGTCCGGCCCGACAGTCACGACAAGCGCGTTCGCTGCAACCGGCCCGCGACCATCTTTCCTTCCACGCTTGGCTATCGCCGCTGACCGGTTTTCCGTGCCCAAGCGATGGCACTGGAGCAGCGCTCGCGCCGCGCTTCGGCAGGGCGCCTCCATTCAGGCGGCGCCCCGCCAGCCGGGCCACTCACCGATGCCGTGCTTGTCCATCAGCGCGATCAGGTCAGCCTCGGTCAGCAGCGACGGCGGCGACGTCTCGCCCACAGGCATCGACAGCTCGGCCGCGAACTGGTCACCCCGCCTGCGCACGGGTCAGAGCGGGCCCAGGGGGGTCAGGGTCAGTGAGGTCAGCAGTTCGGCAGCAAGGTCGCCCGCGTCAAGGGGCAGTCAGTCAGGTCGGTCAGGTCAGTCGCGAACCGGTCACCCCGCCTGCGCACGGGTCAGGTCAGGTCTGGTCTGGTCAGGTCAGGTCAGGTCAGGTCAGGTCAGGTCAGGTCTGGTCGGGTCAGGTCAGGTCAGGTCAGTTCAGCTCGGCCGCGAACCGGTCACCCGCCTGCGCACGGGTCAGAGCAGGTCAGGGCGGGTGAGGGCAGGACAGGGCGGGGCAGGGCACGTAATATCAGAACGTACACATAGACAGCGAACTGATCCTCCAGTCTGTCTCAACAGAGCCGAAACCTATGGGATCGGCTACATACACCACACAGCGACGCGGCAGACACGAGAGGACGCCCGAAACACCCGCGAACGGGCTGCCGAAGGGAGCAGGTCCGCGTACACGACAGCACAGAAGCCCGCCGACACGCGAGCCGAGGCCGAATACAGGGAAGACGTACCGATTAACCCATTTGCGGTAAATGGACGCGATTATCCGGCTGAGCCCACGGAGATGGACCGCACCACAAACCACGTGATCACCAGAGTCGGAGGCAAACAAGGCGCAGCGCAATGTCGACAGCACTGTGCGATCAGATGAAGCGTGTGCACACGTTTTGCACGTTGTGCACACGCACATTTGCGCACCGGCGGGACATTCGTGTCGAAGTCCTCGGCAAAAGCGCTCCCGCGCGGGGTCCACCTGGCGTCGGAGGGCGCACGCAGCGCAGCGCGACGGGCAATGTTGTCCGTGTTGCGACGGGTGAGGACGAGTCCACTCTGTCAGAGAGTGTACGCCGCGAGTGAGTGTGCAGACCTGTTCGCCGCGGTGCACCAGCGGGCGATCCGCTGCCAGAGGGCGTACCCCGCCGCGAGGCGCGGCGGCTGAGTTTGCCGACGCCGTCGGACGCGGCCGGACGGCGGCGGCGCTCACCTGTACACCGGCAGCTCCTTGTCCGACCACTTGTCGTACGGGTACACGTCCAGGTAGTTGCGCGCGGTGATCGCCAGCCCGTTGGCGGAGAACTGCCGGCAGCCAGGACACGGAGGCGCTCGTCATTGCGGCGCCCCGCCAGGTAAATATCGCGGTCTTGCTGTCTGGCGTCTCGTTACTCGCGTGGACTTCATTACTGCGACGCTGTGCCACGGACACGCCTCCTGTTGTCACAGGCTGCCGTCGGCCGCAGGGCGCTGCGGTGGGCTGTGCCTCGCTGCTGTGACACTGTGACACGGACACCCCTCCCCAGTGACACGGATACCTCTCCCCGGTGACACAGATACTCCTTCCCGGTGACACGAACACCCCTCCCCAGCGACAACGACACCCCTCCCCGGTGACACAAACAGCCGTCCCCAGTGAGAGGGATGCCCCTCCCCGGTGACACAGATACCCCTTCCCGGTGACACGAACGCCCCCTCCCCAGTGACACAGATACCCCTCCAGGTGACATAGATACCCCTCCCCCAGTGACACGGATACCCCTCCCCGGTCACTGGTGACAGCCTTCGGCGGGAAGCGCTCGAGTGTTGCAACACCAGGTCGCTGCCCGATTCCAAGGTCAGATGGCTACACGATTCCAAGGTTATATGGCTGTACGATTTAAAGGTCAGATGGCTGTACGATTTAAAGGTCAGATGGCTACACAACGCCACAATTCAAAGGTCAGATACCTGCCCGATTCTAATGGCATGATTTGGACAGGACGCGTGACTACATCACCGGGAAGTCGCGCTAGCGGCTGGATCACCGGACACGTGGCTGGGTCACTGGACACGTGGCTGGGTCGTTGGACACGTGGCTGGGTCACTGGACACGTGGCTGGGTCGCTGGACACGTCCCATCCTCGGCTGGAGGCGGGCGAATGCCTTACCGGTCACAGCCGAGCTGAAGAATAAAGAGTCTGCACGCACAAAAAAACAAACAAACAAAAACGCACGTTCCAGTGCAGTAAACTTAAAAAGCTGCTTCTACCCATTCATCATTTATGCTAAGACATTATGCATACGGCATACTTGCATAGCGTGTAACAGATCGCATCTTATCAACAACCATGTTGTTACGTCACTTCCCTGATTCTTTCATCGTCAACATTTTTCACACGTATCAAATTCTACGAAGGAGAGGAACGTGTCCCCTCCCCCTCCCACACACACACACACACACTTGTGCACGCCACTGGGTGGCCGCGTCAAGTCACGAGCCCCGACCGAGCGCTGTGTCCGCCAGCGGCTAATCCAGTGCACGATCGTCACAGCGTCATTACTGGGCGCCGGCCACCGGCCACGCCGACCGCAGTCTCCGACGTCGCGACCGCCGGCGTGTAACCAGGCTCCAAACAGGCTCGTCAGTGGATACAGGTGATTTTTATGGCGTTTGCACATGCAGCACACCGGTTCCTCGGTCGGAGCATTCCCGCCTCTGCAGGCCAGCGCGGGTCCGCTGCTCAAGCGTAGCGAAGGCCGCAGGTGCTGAGAGCGAGCCCCGTCCCTGTCCGCAGGGACGCCACGCCACCGGTGGGGAGTGGGCTCCTGTTACCCTGTCCCTGTCCGCAGGGACACCACGCCACTGGAGGGGAGTGAGCTCCAGTTATCACGTCCCTGTTCGCAGGGACACCACGCCACCGGTGGAGCAGTGAGCTCCTGTTATCCCGTCCCTGTCCGCAGGGACACCACGCCACCGGTGGGGAGTGAGCTCCAGTTATCACGTCCCTGTCCGCAGGGACACCACGCCACCGGCGGGGAGTGGGCTCTTGTTATTCCGTCCCTATCCGCAGGGACACCATGACTCGGTCGCCGGGGCCGGCCGGTGAGCCGTACGTGCGGCCGTTACTCCGTCCCTGTCCGCAGGGACACCATGACTCGGTCGCCGGGGGCGGCCGGTGAGCCGTGCGTGTGGTTGTGGCTGCGCTTCCTCAGCGTGCCGTGCCTGCTGGCGCTGGTGCTGGTCGGCACACCGCCCGGCCGCTGGCTCGTGCGTCACCGCCACCGCTGGCCAATCAGCGCCAGACTCGTCCTGCTGTGTCAAGGTCAGCTGACCCAGCCCGCCGCCACTTGCGCGGGTGGAGCCGCCCTTGAGCGCCGGCCACTGGCGGGCCGCCGTTGCTGAGTTGCTTTCTGATTGGTGGGTCGCATCGGGTCGATCAAAGAAACGTGTGCCGTGGGGTTAGCTGGGGTGGCTGGGATGGTTGAGATGGTTGAGGTGGCTGGGGTGGCTGAGATGGCTGGGTGACTGGGTGGCTGGGATGGCTGAGGTGGCTGGGATGGCTGGGGTGGCTGGGAAGGCCGGGATGGCTGGGATCAGTGTCTGCTGAGTCATCTCTGTTGCGTGTATACTAGTCAAGCAGAAGAACAAATTCACATCGGGAACCCAGGTTGTGCAATCCCAGCATTTCAATGACTTAAATATTTTACACATGGCGTGTTGATCTCCCACCAGAGTCCGGTTGATACCTCCATTCTTGCCGGAGCAAACCATTTGTCTGCTGAAAATCCTGCTCTACGCGGGTTACGAACCCAGCGTCCGTTCACTAGAACATGCTACGGCTGTGGTTGGCGCATTTACGAGCGGATTTTAAACCCCCAGCTGGAGATGGTAGCTGATGTGTAAAAGGTGCTACAGGTAGGACATGCCTCAATGCTGCAGTACAGCTGCTGTTAAAAATAACATATCTGATATAAGAACGAAGGGCCGTGGGCTATTTCTCGGTACTGAGTTGGTGTACTAAACACAGGATGAAAGATACCGGGAGGGCCCGGTCAAGGAATAATATGAAGCAATCATTAAAAATTCGAAGTGAAGCCGGCTTATCAATTAAGAAACAGGGAGCCAAAAGGACTCAATAAGCAATTCATAACATCTCCCATGTATTATTTGATATCAGCGTTTGATGGCGCCTATTGGTGTATCCAAATCTTTTCATTGTAAGACGCCATCGTGAGAAGGCTGCTGCCAGGGTAGCCCGCCCCGACGCGGACCGTAGCTTAGGCCTCCCTCCTGACCGCATCAAACCGCTCACGACCTTATCACCGTCCGCTGCACGTGCTATGCCCCAGCCGGGCGTCACAGTCACCGCTTGCTCTCCGTTCTGAGTCCGCTGACCATCAAAACACGCAACTTCTGTGTCAGCCTCAGGCACCGGCGAGGGTACACGGTGTCCAACTTTGACCCTGCATGCCTTTCGCTCGCGGGCGCAGTAACCTGTGGTGGTGTGGGGAGGAACGATTTTTGATCTGGCTTTGCCGCGCAACAAAGTTAACCGGTCCAAGTCATCGTTCAGAGACGTTCGCTTGACGACAATATGTGAACATCGCCACATTCTGGACATAGTCCATTCTATGCCTTCGTCGATTCAATTGTCCTGTTCTAGGAAATCGCAAATCCGTGAGCTTAAAGATAATATTACCTCTGCCGCCGAGAGCTGCCAGTAGCTGCCCATAACCTGTATCGCGTATGGTCTGTGCCGGCAGGAATTGCCGTCGCTACTGATCCCGGCCTGGCACCTCTCGTATCAGACCGGGCCATTGCTGGCGCCGCCGCTGCTGCCGCTCGCGCTGTTCGCCGCGCACTACTTCCGGCGAGCGTTCATCTACCCGCTGCACGTGCCGGCCGACGCCAGCCGGCCGCTGCCCTGGCTGCTCATGGGGCTCGCGTTCGCCGCCTGGAACGGCCAGCTGCAGAGTCTGGCGGCGCTGCGCTGCCCGGCCGACGCCAGCGCCGCCTATACGGCCACGCACGCCGCTGGTGCTGCCATCTTTCTGCTGGGCGCGGCGATCAACACGGACTCCGACCGGCGCCTGGCAGCGCTGCGGAGGCCGGGCGGGCCGCGCTACAGCGTGCCGCGTGGCGGTCTGTTCGAGCTCGTCACGGCCGCCCACCACCTGGGCCAGGCGATCCAGTGGTGGGGCTACGCGCTGCTGTCCCGGACGCCGGCCGCGCTGGGCTTCGCCCTGGTCAGCTCCGCCTACCTGAGCAGCCGCGCGGCCGAACAACACGCGCGCAACAGGGGCCTGTTCGGCGCCGAGTACCCCACCCAGCGGCGGCGGATAGTGCCGTTTCTCTTCTGAGTGACCCCCGGCCGCCGCGGCACGCGCGGCCGCCCAGCGCCGTGCGGCCCGGACCGCAACCGAGCGGGCACACGACGGAGCAAGGGTTCCATGGGATTACTTGATGGCGAGGTCATAAGACGCTGTGAGGTGGAATAAACGGCACTTCGAAAGCGTGCATGTGTTGCGTGTGTGTCGCGTATTCGGTGTTGATCTGTGTAGTATGTACTGACGCGGCGTTAGAATAACCACTCGTTGGATTTCGCCAAGGTTTGCAATAATAACAATAGTGTCCAGTGAACACATCCACCCACATCATTATGAAGTTTAGGTTTACGTGACAGGTGTTCTAACAAAAGCATCTTCCGAACCGAGAACCAAGCCTGCTACCAAACCGAATCCGAAACCACGCAGAAAAAATCTCCTGTCAACGGAACTGCGTGCCGCCACCGACCCGCTAGGAGCCACGTCACATGTAAGCACGATCTCCCGACGTGCCGCCGCCTCCGTGCAGTGGCGCCGGCGCCAGCTGGTGTGTCGGTACACTGACCTTCTCTCCAGCGACGTCGGCCTCTACCAGCGTCTCCTGACCCTGGGCGTCGGCAGACAGGCAGGCCAAGAAGTGCCGCACCACAAACTCGTACAGGCGTTGCTCGTTGCCGGTCAGGCCCGGCGCCGCCCTGCAGAGGTCAGCCAGAGGTCAGGGAAGCGGCCGGGACACAGGATAGTCGGAGCCGACATCGGATACACCGGGGTGATCGGACGCACACGTGACCGGACAGTTCCGACCCGCCGTCTAGGTCGCGCCGCCTGGTCAGCACGTTCGGCACGTGGGAGGAGGCCCGTCTGGTCGCCTGGGCCGGGCGACGCTGCCGCCACCGTCACCGGCGCACACCTCGGTTGAAGCGAAGGACCAGACAGGCGCCGCCGCCGTCATCGCACGCCGGCGCCGCGAGCGTCCTCAGCACTCCACACACGCAACGCCCACCGCCAGCGCCCAGCGTGACAGACGAGCGCGGCGCGCCCGCTGTGCGCAACCTCGTCTCTCTCTCTCTCTCTCTCTCTCGCTCTATCTCGCGCTAGAGATAGCGCGATCGTAGAGCGCTGATGCGATAGAGAGCTAGACTCTATCGAGAGGCATCATGTATGATCTAGCGATATCATATAGCTATATAGAGTAGCTCGGAGATAGAAGAGATAGATATCTATCTTCTCTCTCTCTCTCTCTCTCTCCTCTCTCTCTTCTCTCTCTCTCTCTATATCTCTCTCTCTCTCTCTTCTCTCTCTCTCTCTCTCTCTCTTCTCTCTCTCTCTCTCTCTCTCTCTCTCTCTCTCTCTCTCTCTCTCTCTCCTCTCTCTCTCTCTCTTCTTCTCTCTTCTCTCTCTCTCCTCCTCTCTCTCTCTCTCTCTCTCTCTCTCTCTCCGGGACCGGCGCAGCCCTAGCGACCTCCACCCAGGTGTCGCGGCCTGGGTGACCTCCGCCCACGTGTCGCGGCCTGGGTGACCTCCGCCCAGCGTGTCGCGGCCCCGGTGACCACCACCCACGTGTCGCGGCCCGGGTGACCTCCGCTTAGCGTGTCGCGGCCCCGGTGACCTCCGCCCACGTGTCGCGGCCCCGGTGACCTCCGCCCAGGTGTCGCGGCCTGGGTGACCTCCGCTCAGGTGTCGCGGCCCGGCCCTTACTTGGTCGGGTGGATAGGCGGATGGGCGTTGTCCGTCTTCTTGCCCTGGCGCGGGTTGACGCCGGTCTCCAACAGCCGAGCGGCGAACCCTGCGGCAGACAGGCGGACAGTCAGCGGGACCGGGACTGGAGAGTCAGCGGGACCGGAGAGTCTGCGGGACCGGGGGGTCTGCGGGACCGGGACCAGAGACTGCGGGACCGAGCCCGGAGTCAGCGGGACCGGGACTGGAGAGTCAGCGGGACTGTAGAGTCTGCGGGACCGGAGTCCGTGGGACCGGGACCGGAGTCCAGCGGGACCAAAACCGGGGAGTGCGGGACCGGGACCGGAGAAGCAGCGGGACCGCTGCGGGTCAGCGTACGACGGGGGCAGTGCGCGCTTAAACTCCCGCTCCCTCGGCCGCCGCGGGGAGTGGCTTACCTCCCCAGTTGGGGTCGTTGACCTGCTGCTGCACCAGCGGCACCAGGTTCAGCTCCTTGGGGAAGATGTTGGTCTCCGTGCGCGGGTAAGAGAGGAAGCCCTGCGTGTACAGCTTCTCAGCCAGCTTCATCGTCTCCTTCGCCGAGATGCGCAGCTTCCGCGACGCCAGCTTCTCCAGCTCCTGCACGACGACGAATACCGGGATCAAAGAATGGCTCACAGACGTGTCATTAGACAAATAATGGGCGCTGAGGCCACTCAGACTGATGAGACTGACGCCGCGCTTGCCTCCGTGGGGACTTCGCAAAGCGACTAAATATATAAGTTTTGTTTGATAACGTTGTATGACCAGTATCTCCAGAGCAGGAGCTCCAGACTAACATAAGGAAGAAGCTTTCTAGCGCAAAGTACCTGTTACACCTCGAAACCCAGCATTTGTGGTTTGCACACATACCAACCGCATAATATAAACAAAAGCGTATGATACAAATCATCACTTAAATCATTCAGTGACCTTCGAAAGCCGCTCGAGCGCCTCCAGACCGTCACAACACCGACGCAGTCCAAGAACCAGCACCGCCTCCGCTCCAGCACCACTCACCACTGTGTCGAGAGGCAGCGGGCGCCACTTGGACTTGGGCTTGGACTGGACGGCGGTGACGGTGGCCGTGCTGCTCTCGCAGCACTTCTCGAACAGCACCTGCCGACACAGTACAGAGTTAGGACACGGCCGGTCACCGGCGCCTCCCCGGGCGGTGGAGACAGCGGCCGGCGCCTCACCGGGCGTCGGAGACAGCGGCCGGCGGTGCCTCCCCGGGCGGTGGAGACAGCAGCCGGCGCCTCCCCGGGCGGGGACAGCAGCCGGCGCCTCCCCGGGCGGCCGAGACAGCGGCCGGCGTCTCACCGGGCGGGGACAGCGGCCGGCGCCTTCCCAGGGGGCGGGGACAGCGGCCGCACGACGGCCGCCGCCCGGCCTCGATCAGCCCCCGCGCGCCGCCCGCGGGCAGGCCCGAGTCTGTTGGCCGCGCCGTCGTCACAGCCGACGAGCGGGGCGCGGCCGCCGCTGCTGGCAACACCCGCCCAGCCCAGGAGCCGGCATCTGATCTGGCTCCTCGCGGCATTTCTGACGCCTCGTGCCCGTGAATTCTAAATAAGCTCGTATTGCACCTGCCGTGACTTCAGACCAGTCTCCTGTCTATTGATTCTGTACCTGGCGCACCGATGATTCGCTAGCCGACTCCTGGCATCCGAACATGGCCTCTCTCACTGGCCTGGTCGCTAGTACTCGCTGGTCTGACAGCCGACCCCTAGCATCTGAACATGGCCTCTCTCACTGGCCTGGTCGCTAGTACTCGCTGGTCTGACAGCCGACCCCTAGCATCTGAACATGGCCTCTCTCACTGGCCTGGTCGCTAGTACTCGCTGGTCTGACAGCCGATCCCTAGCATCTGACCATGGCCTCTCACTGGCCTGGTCGCTAGTCCTCGCTGGTCTGACAGCCGACCCCTAGCATCTGACCATGGCCTCTCACTAGCCCGGCCGCTAGTCCTCGCTGGTTTGACAGCCGACCCCTGGCATCTGACCACGGCCTCTCACTGGCCTGGCCGCTGGTCCTCGCTGTTCTGGCAGCCGACCCGTGACTGACCTGGCAGCAGAGCTGGTCAAACAGCCGCACGCGTTTCCAGTTGAACTCCACCGACCTCCCCTCCACCTGGTGGACCACTGTGGACGAACAGTCACATCAGCGGCGCTGCTGGGCGAGGTGGCGTCACATCAGCGGCGCTGCTGGGCGAGGTGGCGTCACATCAGTGGCGCTGCTGGGCGAGGTGGCGTCACATCAGCGGCGCTGCTGGGCGAGGCGGCGTCACATCAGTGGCGCTGCTGGGCGAGGTGGCGTCACATCAGTGGCAGCGCCGCTGGGCGAGACGGCTGCGAAAGTGCGGCGAACGCGGCGGGTCACAGAGGAACCGGGCCGACTGGCCCCTAAAAACACACACACGTGAGCATCCTGCGACGTCAACCTCACCTCATTCGGCGTTTACGCCTCGGAAATATGGACGAAAAACGTTTAGCCAGATGAACATGTGGAGATCTAAGCATGCAGCTTCTAGCTCACATCCCCACGCATTGCGTCACACTTCCAGCATACGAAGAAAACACACAAGCTATAAGACAAATGTATCGTGATTAAGAACTTGTTACAGACAGCCACTACGACGCGCCGGGTTCATGACAAAGAAGCCTTAACGTGTTATCCTCTTCGAGCATATATCGTCAATACCCAAGCCTATCGCAACGAAGACTCGGAGAGTTTCTGAGCATGCCTTGCACATGTCGTCACACGTAACACGCGAGGCGTGATGAGCAATTTGGTTCATCTTGTCTGTCATCCAACTTTTCCAGCCGCGTTTTCAACAAAATCCAGCTCCCAGCTCATCAAGGCGTGCCCAGTCCACGGCAGGTCATCCAACAACGCCTGGCGAGCCGCGGCCCTCCACCGCACGGCCGCCGCCTGAGGGCGGAGCCTAGCCCACCCACCTCGGATCTTCCAGAACTGCTCCGGAATGAAGCTCTGGATGGCCTTGTAGCGCTCCACCACGAACCCCAGCGTGGGGAACTGGCACGAGCCGTAGCTGATGAGCCGGTCGGCCAGGCTGGCCGGGAACACCTGCTTTAGGCGCAGTGTCTGGAACCGGGTGAATGCGGCGCCTGCGGGCCAGGCGCGCGGCCCGTCAGGCGCGGCGCAGGCGGCGGACAGCGCGCTGCGCAGGGCGCCGGCGTCTGGGGTCCGCCCAGCGGCTGGCGTCCGCCGCCCGGGAGAGGCGTTCATCGTCCCATCAAAGATGACGGGCCCATCATCACCCCCCCCCCCCCCCCCTCCTCAATCCTGCTCTTCGCTGCGAGTCTCACAACCGTGCGAAACATGCACCGGATCATGACACCGATGGTTTGACATTTGAAGAGGGCTTTGGGGGCGCGGGGAGAGCCACGGCTGTGGGGTGTGTGAACGGGGAGGGGGGGGGGGGGGGCAGCTGGGAGCGGTGCGAGAGAGCAGCGACACTGAGTGACACGACACGCAACATCCACGGCCGATCCGCGGCGCCACCCACCGATGCGCAGGTCCAGCTGCTGCCGTACGTCGACGGCGGCGCTGGCGCGCGCGTCCGGCTGCTGCAGGTTGGCCACCGCCCGACGCACCGAGGCGGCCGTGATCTCCGAGAAGCGCGCCCTGGCGGCACGCGCGCCGGCCGCGTCACCTGGGCCACCCGGCGCGGGGGAAACGGCCGCCGTCGGCCGAAGCTAGGCCCGCCATGGCTTGCTGAGACCGGTCTGGCGGTGACGCGGCGGAAGCGCCAGGGGAACAGGAGTAACATCCGGCGCTCATGGAGTCTGTGGACCCCGCCCGTGCACCAACACCCAACTGAAGACCCGACATCCACCTCACCACCCGACACACCCCAGAGTACCCGACACACCCCAGAACACCCGACACCCACCCGTACCACCAGCACCCCTCTGGCTGTGGCCGGGCGGGTGCTGGCCGCGCCGGTACGCTGACGCACGCGACGCCCACCTGAGCACGCGCAGACCGGGCCTGGCGGCGCGGCACACGTCCACCACCTCGAAGCCGATGTTTTCGCCTCCCTGTCACAGTCGGTCCAGATCACCAGCAACTGACAGCGGCGCGCCTCCCGCTCGAGGGTTTTCTGCCGGCCGAGGGGAGCGGGCGGCGAGTCAGACGCGTGCCAGGGCGGAGACCTCGGTCACGGGCGCGTGACGGTGCCCACCGAACGGCCGGCGTACGAGGTCCGCCGCCGAATGGCCAGGAGGCAGAGGTCTCCGCAGTCGAGCGGCGGAGGTGGCCGGGGGGCACCACGCCCTTCCACGCCCGGGTGGCCGACCGACCGGCCACCGAGCTGCCGCCGATACTCTGGGCATGCTGATGCACCGGACGGCTCGATATTCTTAGGCATTTTCCAGGCGCCCGATGTACTCCGATCAGCTGGCGCTGTGGCCGAGGCGGGCCTGCTCACACACACACACGGCCGGAGCCGTCCCCACAGCAGTGCATCGCCGGAGAGGACAGCACGCTCGTGAGGCAAAGCCAGAATCTTTGCAACATCTGGCGGTCGCACCCGGCTTTATGCGCTCACGACCACTCCTTCCCTCCCCGCCTCTCCCCCACCGCTGATTCGAGGCCAAGACTGACGGACCGGCCCCGTCCCGCCCGCCCCACAGCCGGAGCCGCCTCACCTTGATGGGCTCGTAGTCCTGCAAGCACTGCTTCACCACCGGGCAGTCGAAGAGCGCGACTGGGCTGCAGCTCATCCACTTCCTGGCGGCCACCCCGTCAATCAGTCAGCATGGTCGGCGGAGGCGGCCGCGGCGCCGCTGCGTCCTCGCACCTCCTGTACCTCCTCCTAACGTCTCTCCTCTTCTTCTCACGTCACTAATCTCGGTTTCTGTTACTTCGCAAGTACCTCACTGGCGTTCATAAATGACATGAGGTCACGTCAAGTGTTGAGAGCAGACTCCCGCGCGTGTTCTTACAGCAGACGTCACGCACCCCGCCACACACGCAAGTCAGTGGGGGGGGGGGGGGATGACGTCGAGCCGGCAGCAAACTACCCGCCGGAAGCTGACGGGGAACAGCAGACCACTCACCGGGAGCTGACGGGGAACAGCAGACCACTCACCGGTAGCTGACGGGGAACAGCAGACCACTCACCGGTAGCTGACGGGGAACAGCGGACCACTCACCGGGAGCTGACGGGGAACAGCAGACCACTCACCGGTAGCTGGCAGGGAGCAGCATACCACTCACCGGTAGCTGACGGGGAACAGCAGACCACCCACTGGTAGCTGACAGGGAACAGCAAACCACCCACCGGTAGCTGACAGGGAACAGCAGACCACCCACCGGTAGCTGACAGGGAACAGCAAACCACCCACCGGTAGCTGACAGGGAACAGCAGACCACCCACCTGTAGCTGGCGGGGAACTCGTAGTTGAGCAGGTGGCCTGAGACGGACGTCATCGTCATCTCGCACCGCTGGCCCTGCAGCTCGTACTCGAACTCGTAGATCTTGTTGAACTTGGACAGGCCCTCACGCTGTCGGCGGCAGGCGGTAGTGTGAGTGGCAGGCGGGTGGCAGGCGATATTGAGTGACAGGCGGCCGGCAGGCGTAGGAGTGGTTAACACAGAGGTATTGAGCTAGGACATGTCCGAAATTGCGGCACACAAGACGGAAAACTCGTTAGCACCAGTCAAACACTACCCCAACATCGGAGCATCACCTCGGTCATGACACTGACAACAACGGCATTACTGACAATCATGACACCAAACGTCAACCATGATATTGCAAAAAATTAAGCATGAAGCAGAGAACATGAAGACTAGACAGTGTGTCGCCGCAGCAGGGCCATACCCAACCCAGCACTAGTGTCGAGCTGCAATGCTGTCGGCCGCTCCGTCCCCCCCCCCCCCTTCCCTCCCTTCAGCACTGCCTGCCGCCCCATCTCACCCGACGCGCCTGGCCTCCGGACATCAGGCCAGCCAGACTCTTGGCCGCGTCGTTCTTCTCGGCCACGTTCAGCACACGCATGGCGGCGGCAGGGGCCTGCGTACTCAGGACCCGGGGCCGCAGACGGGTCTGAGGGCGAGGCGCCGCTCGGGGTAGCGGCGCGCGCGGCCCGGTGGCGCGCAGCACCAGCACGGCGCTGGCTGCTAGCATTCACTGCTGCCACGGCGCTGGCCGCTAGCATTCACTGCTGCCGCTGCCGCGACACCAGCAGGCCTGCTGTCGCCTGCAACAGGCTGTTGATGGAGGTCACAGTTAGGCTGTAGCAGGCTGAGATCTAGTCAGACTGGCAGGTGCGGGTTGTGGTCCGGACTAAACCACAGACCACTGGAGTCTGACTGGACCACAGATTCTAGCAGTTTGTGGTTCAGTCAGACTGCATAACCCTCCTGGGGCCATGGGTGGTTCTCTCTCTGAGAACACAAATGCATATAGGCATTCAACACATTGTGTTTTCACTTTCACTTGCTGCCTGAGGTGGATAAATATTGCAGGAGTGGTGTGCCTGTTGTGCAATACATGTGTCAATTATATCTGCAATCATGTATGGTAACAAAGGCAGGCATGCACACATAATTTTTGATCTGTGAAAAACAGCCAAGATTCAGGCTGCAAAATGTACATGTATCCTGCCCATATCTAAGGTAGCAGAAACTCAGCACATACACACCCAAAATCCAAGAGCATGGAGCTTGGTACATGGCCACCACAAATTTCAGCACATCAAGAGCTGTAGTTTCAAGGAATCATGATGCTGCTTGGTTTTAAATAACTTATCTCTTAGTTTCAACCCAGTTTGGCCTGGCCAGGGCTTGACACAAGTGATGTCCAGGTTTGGCACACAGACACCACATCGGCATCTGACACAGTGGCAAGAACTGTTTGCAGACTGGCTAGAAATGACTTGGCAAAAGCCCTAATTGAGCCATATAAATTGCTAGCAGGGTCCACTGATGGACAGTACCACTTACATTCATGTGTCAAATGAATAACCATCCACCTTGGCTTTTCAAGACATGCATTCACACTTCACAGCTATCAAAACTAATGGCAGCGTTGGAATTCTAGCATGCTGTCAGGGAATCCGACCCCAATAGAACGTTCACTCCATATCACACATGGGAAAGAATTAACCCACCGGGCTCTATGCATGCAAACAACATAATCAAGGTCTATGCCATGCAGGAAGCTGTTCGAGCGCACACATCACATGGATTTCTACAGTCCAATACACTATCTCATACAATTTCCCCACCAATGTTCGGCAACAATCTCACTGACCTGCGTTCCAATTGGAGGTCCTTCCAACCTGGCCTCGCTTTTGCAGTGCACCAGTGCAATAACCCATGGGCGCCAACTTCCAACTAGGGTATTCTTCAAGTACTTCACCTTTTTTAGAAGAAGAAAAATCTCCACCGCGAGCGTTTTACGCGCAGTGCGGCACGGGCTCAACCAGCTCGCGTTAGCAGGATTGCCCGACTTTGAAATCATACAATCCAAACGACATCTTTAGCACCAAAAATAAAGCAGGCAATTAACATTATACACTACGTCGTTTCGACCACTGCTACTCACAATGCTCGCATGATTGCCTATCATCTTCAAGAAATAACCATCTGATAATATAATAATTTCGGCCACAAACAGGTCATATGATTTTTAACACGCAGACAGCCGACGATTTATAGCATGTACTAAAAGGGCAACATAAGCACCAAATTACGTACATTCGAGCAATCAAGAAAAGTATCCCAGTTCTTCACATTCGTGTCTCGAATTGATATTTCCAAACAGACAGCACAGAGAAAAACCCAACAATGTCGGCGGAACTGAAGCATTTCCAGCAGTCTTAAAAAACGGACCAAGCCACGGGAACCAAACACCGAAGCCAAGCCAACGTTTTCGGTACGGTACATTGACGTCTATTAGCGCAGTGCATCTCATACACGAGTCCGGATAATGTGATTCACACTTATTAGGACCAAACACATCGTGACGACATTGTCGCTTAAACTACAACACTTGGATTTAATTAATATGACTACTCCGTTTGCCGTGACATGCTGCCATCATGTCGTGCAGAGGGACTGTCGTAGTACCCTCTTAAAGTAGTGCACCTCCTGTACAATTCCAACGAGCAAGGCTTGAAATCGCTCTGACATCCAGAGACATACTCTGCCGAGATAATACGCCAACAGCCACCCTAAGGAAACGGATCAAGCCTCGGGAAACGAAGACTGAAGCAAGGCCAGCGTTTTCGGTACGGTACATATACGTCTATTAGCGTAGTGCACCTTACACACGAGTCCGGATCATGCGATTCACACTTATTAGGACCAAACACATCTTGCTGACGATGTCGGTGGATATGCCAGACCACGGCCCGATGAATAAGACTCATGCATTGCCGTCAGATGTTGCCATCATTGGCGGACGGACTGCAGTAGCACCCTCTTCAAGTAGTACACCTCTGGTATAATTCCAATTGGCGGAACCTAAAAACCGCTCTGACATCCAAAGACATACTCTACCGAGATAATATGCCAATAAAAATCCTAAGGATACGGACCAAGCCTTGGAACCGAAGACTGAAGCTAGGCCAGCTTTTTTGGTACGGCACATATGCGTCTATTAGCGCAGTGCACCTCATGCACGAGTCCGGATCAGGCGATTCACACTTATGGAAATTAAACACATCGCGCTGACAATGACGGTGGAACTGCGAGACTTCGGTCCGATGAATAAGACTGATGCATTGCCGTGAGATGCTGCCACCGTGTGCGGACAGGCTGTAGTAGCACCCTCTTAAAGTAGTACACCTCTTGTATAATTCCGATTGGCGAGACCTAAAAACCACTCTGAAAGGCAAAGACACACCCCGCTGAGATAACATCCCGACACGAACCCTGAGGAACAAAGCCAAGCCCCGGGAACCGAGGACCGAAACAAAGGCAACGGTTTAGGTACGGTACATATACGTTTAGTCGTACGGTGCACCTGAAACAAGAGCCCTTCTTACTAAGTAGAAATAAACACATTGTGCCGACAATGTCGGTTGAGCTGCAATGGTTTGATTCAATGAATAAGACTCATGCACTGTCGTGGGATGTCACTATCATGTGCGGACAGACTGTAGTAGCACCTTCTTAAAGTAGTGCGCCTCTTGCATAATTCGTTGACGAGACCTAAAAACGGCTTTGTCATCCAAAGACACACTGTACCGAAATAACGTGTCAACAGCAATTCTAAGGGAACGGACCAAGCCCCGGAAACCGAAGACCGAAGCGAGGCCAACGTTTTCGGTACGGTACATATATATTTATAAGCGCAGCGTACCTTATACCATCGTCAGCAAGATGTGTTTAGTCCTAATAAGTGTGAATCGCATGATCCGGACTCGTGTGTGAGGTGCACTACGCCAACAGACGTATATGTACCGTACCGAAAACGCTGGCCTTGCTTCAGTCTTCGTTTCCCGGGGCTTGGTCCGTTTTCTTAGGGTGGCTGTTGGCATATCATCTCGGCAGAGTATGTCTCTGGATGTCAGAGCGATTTCCGGCCTTGCTCGTTGGAATTGTACAAGAGGTGCACTACTTTAAGAGGGTGCTAAGACAGTCCCTCTGCACGACATGATGGCATCTCACGGCAATGCATGAGTCTTATTCATCGGACCGACGTCTTGCATTTCCATTGACATTGTCAGCACGACGTGTTTAGTTCTAATAAGTGTGAATCGCATCATCCGGGCTCGTGTGTGAGGTGCACTACGCTAACAGACGTATATGTACCGTACCAAAAACGCTGGCCTTGCTTCAGCCTTCGTTTCCCGGGGCTTGGTCCGTTTGCTTAGGGTGGCTGTTGGCATATTATCTCGGCAGAGTACGTCTTTGGATGTCAGAGCGGTTTCTAGGTCTCGCCAATTGGAATTATACAAGAGGTGTACTACTTGAAGAGTGTGCTACTGCGGTCCGTCCGCCAATGACGGCAACATCTGACGATAATGCATGAGTCTTATTCATCGGACCAAAGTCTTTCATGTCCACAGACATCGTCAGCAAGATGTGTTTAGTCCTAATAAGTGTGAATCGCATGATCCGGACTCGCGTGAGGTGCACTACGCTAACAGACGTATATGTACCGTACCGAAGACGCTGGCCTTGCTTCAGTCTTCGTTTCCCGGGGCTTGGTCCGTTTGCTTAGCGTGGCTGTTGGCATATTATCTCGGCAGAGAACGTCTTTGGATGTCAGAGTGGTTTCTAGGTCTCGCCAATTGGAATTATACAAGAGGTGCACTACTTGAAGAGGGTGCTACTGCAGTCCGTTCGCTAATGATGGCAACATCTGACGGCAATGCATGAGTCTTATTCATCGGACCGTGGTCTGGCATACCCACCGACATCGTCAGCAAGATGTGTTTGGTCCTAATAAGTGTGAATCGCATGATCCGGACTCGTGTGTAAGGTGCACTACGCTAATAGACGTATATGTACCGTACCGAAAACGCTGGCCTTGCTTCAGTCCTCGTTTCCCGGGGCGTGATCCGTTTCCTTAGGGTGGCTGTTGGCATATCTCGGCAGAGTATGTCTCTTGATGTCAGAGCGATTTCAAGCCTTGCTCGTTGGAATTGTGCAAGAGGTGCACTACTTTAAGAGGGTGCTACGACAGTCCCTCTGCACGACATGATTGCAGCATCTCACGGCAATGCATGAGTCTTATTCATCGGACCGAAGTCTTGCAGTTCCATCGACATTGCCAGCACGACGTGTTTAGTTCTAAAGGTGTGAATTGCATTATCCGGACTCGTGTGTGAGGCGCACTACGCTAACAGACGTATATGTACCGTACCGAAAACGCTGGCCTTGCTTCAGTCTTTGTTTCCCGAGGCTTGATCCGTTTCCTTAGGGTGGCTGTCCGCATATTATCTCGGCAGAGTATGTCTCTAGATTTCAGAGCGATTTCAAGCCTTGCTCGTTGGAATTGTACAGGAGGTGCACTACTTTAAGAGGGTACTACGACAGTCCCTCTGCACATGATTGCAGCATGTCACGGCAACGGAGTAGTCATATTAATTGAACCCAAGTGTTGTAGTTTAAGCGACAATGTCGTCACGATGTGCTTGGTCCTAATAAGTGTGAATCACATTATCCGGACTCGTGTATGAGATGCACTGCGCTAATAGACGTCAATGTACCGTACCGAAAACGTTGGCTTGGCTTCGGTGTTTGGTTCCCGTGGCTTGGTCCGTTTTTTAAGACTGCTGGAAATGCTTCAGTTCCGCCGACATTGTTGGGTTTTTCTCTGTGCTGTCTGTTTGGAAATATCAATTCGAGACACGAATGTGAAGAACTGGGATACTTTTCTTGATTGCTCGAATGTACGTAATTTGGTGCTTATGTTGCCCTTTTAGTACATGCTATAAATCGTCGGCTGTCTGCGTGTTAAAAATCATATGACCTGTTTGTGGCCGAAATTATTATATTATCAGATGGTTATTTCTTGAAGATGATAGGCAATCATGCGAGCATTGTGAGTAGCAGTGGTCGAAACGACGTAGTGTATAATGTTAATTGCCTGCTTTATTTTTGGTGCTAAAGATGTCGTTTGGATTGTATGATTTCAAAGTCGGGCAATCCTGCTAACGCGAGCTGGTTGAGCCCGTGCCGCACTGCGCGTACAACGCTCGCGGTGGAGATTTTTCTTCTTCTGAAAAAGGTGAAGTACTTGAAGAAAACCCCAACTAGCAACATCAGGACGTCGGATAAGCCTCCAGCCAATCAGGACGACGGACAAGGTATAGCTAATGTACCCAGTTATACATGGTACCGTGACCGCGACTGCACTGCCGCTGCGCAAAGCCGCTAATCAGAGCTGCATGTAAACGCGACATACGCGCCAACCTCGTCTACAGTCGCGCCCCTGGCGCGGGAAAACGCGTTTTGGTTGCTGTCGCCACCAGGTTCTGGGCGTCAAAACACTTAGTTCTGATCCTTCTCGATAAATACGCCTTGATCGAGGATGCCCCGGAGAACGGGCATCTCCGGGTAATCAGCCACAGCGGGCAAATACGGTGAATACTTTATTTCCTGATGTTCTTGTAGTTGAGCTATGGAGCATTTGTTACTATTTTACTTCTTATAGATATTTTCACTCTTTTGTACTATTTAACGGAGACTTGCGGCTAGATCTTGGAGAACGCTCGGGTGCCTTTCTTGGCATTATTTGCACTCACGCCGCGCTTTTTCACTCACTAAATAAAACAAGAGTATATTTTCCTATTTAGTTGGATTGGAAGAAGTCATCGATCCATTGCGGAAGTCATGATCACCGCTGTCAACATCCTGAATCGTGGGGCTTCCGCGTTTAAGGCAAAAAGCAGTTTGAGATCTTATGACCCATGAAATGACCCATGGACCATTACCATTGGCGCAAGCAGGCGACAAAGAGGGTACGTGTCCCCTCCCTTCATAGATATTGAGAGGTCCTTTGGGTCCCTCTGGACCGACGATTAAGGAAGAGCCAGAAGCCAGAATGTCAGCCAGAAGACCCTTAGCGCCGATCGGGGTCATTGAGGGGATAGTGGTCGGCCAGACAGCACAGACAGGGGCAGTACCGCGCAATCAGCTCTGTGACAGCGTGGGCCTGAGCGACCATTCCCAAAGCAACGATAAAGCCGGAGCCAGCGATTTACATTGGCCGGGGGCCTGTATCGGTCAGGCGCCCACAGTGCCTAGCAGGGGTCCTGTGTTCGCAAAGCGCCCCGAAGCGACTAATGCCAGCGTTCGGTGAGGCCCGAAGGGCGGCCCGGGGCCCACCGGAATCGATGATCAAGAGTTCCATTGGAGGCATGAGGGCCCGGAAGGTTAGCTGAAGGCCATACAAACAATACCGGCCGCGAGCGCGTGGGGCCGCAACCCGAAATATGAGGCAGAGGGCCTCTTGCACCGACTGAGGACCCCCTGAGACAATACGGGCCTCTATGTCGGTCAGAAACCACCAAGACCAAACGGTTGGCTCCATGTCTGTCTGGGTCCTGGAGACCCATTTTCCAAGCAGGAGCAAGGCCGGGGTCCACGATTTGCATTGTTCGGGACTCGGGGACGGGGTCCCCATCCCTTTTATGTAGGGCTTCGACACAGAGCCGAGCAGTGGGCTCCGTGTCGGTCCGAATCGCGCGGACCCAACTGCCAAGCAGGAACAATGCCGGGGCTTACGAGTTGCAGTGTTCGGGGTTCCTGACTGTTGCGACTGAATTAGTCGGTGTTGTCACTGAGTTATTGCTACTCCCAAGTGAGAAGTGCGCTGTTCAGTCGTGGCACCATGTGAACTTCCAAGTGAGTAAAATCCAAGTAAAATTGTCTGTCACGCGCGGTCAAGAATGAACAGTTTCATGGTGCACTAGATATGTCAAGGATGTAAAATGTGCTATGCGATTAATTTGCATGAACGTGTAATATAACGTACTTGAATGAGTGTAATGTAACTGATTTTTGAAAGTATTAGTAACAATTCACCACAGCATTCGCTAAGTCCGTCACTTTTAAACCATGTGTTAACTCGTGCAATAGATGGCAATTACCACTGTGCAGGTAAAAAGCGGAGAGCCAAGAGAACCAGGATGGTGGTGGCAATGACAATCAGGGGCTACTGCGTCGGTCAGGGGTCCACAGTACATAACAGGGGTCCTCGAACGCGTTTCCTTGTTTAACACCGGTTGCAAAGCTATGCACCCATTATTACTGATCCTAGAGGCCAGGTTTCGTTAAGGGGTGATTGCAGTTTGTAAGAAATCTGGGTGACTGTGACGTCACTGGGCACGTAAAAAAACAACCCAGGGATCTCTGGGTGAGACTGACTGTGGCCTCGTTTGGCCCGTACTGATAACCGCGCGATTTTTTTTCTTTTTTGATCCGACGATTACACCATGAGATACCAGGGGGAGAGGTACTTTTAGCCCCTCACTTCCGGTGATTACAGCCAAAGCACCCGCTGCGCCATGTTGGACACGTGATTCGCTGCAGATTACACAAAGATGTCTCCGATGGATAAGCACTGCCACGACAAACATATCTCTACATGTATTATTCGCATTCGTCATTCATTCGATCGCAGCTGCAAACGTCAATGGGCCACGCCCCAGAGCACGCAGTTCTCACGAATGCCCCATTACGCCCCCGGAACATGAGCACCCACACGGCCGGCGCCCGCCCGGCTCGCTCAGAACACGGACCCATCGCGTTACAGAGCGGCGCCCACCCCGACAGCGGGTCATGACCGTTGGGTTGCGCCCGTCCCGCGGGAGAACACAGCACAGTGACGATGCCGTGACGCAGGGAACGCGGCGGCGCGCGGCCCGGCCCGCGTGGCCGCACACACGCCACAGCTCGGAGGTCATGCGGCAGCGCAGAGGTCGGCAGAACTCGACACGCCACCCTGGAGCGGCCGCTTCGATGAGTACCCGGGAGACACTGCTGAGGCACACGTGTCTGACACATATGATACTAGCGAACGCCTGATCGATAATTTTGCCTGATCATAATTCACGATGATGGAGACCGCTCGCACCTGAGAGCAGTCCCTGCGTCACGCAGCGCAGATGTAACACATCCGATGGCGGACGGTGCTGAGTGTCAACGTCTGCCGGGCCGCCGGCGTCCCGCCGAGGGGCGGGGCCCTCCGAGCTACGCCACGCGGCCGGCGGAGCGGCGCCGTCGCTGACTGGCGCTGGCCAGCGGCGGAGGCGGAGCTACATGCCCGCCTGCTGGGACATCATGGAGCCGGAGACAGCAGCGTTCGGGCCCAGCAGAATCTGAGGCAGAAGGCACGGCGGCCATGAGCAGCCGCGCAGGAACTCGTCAGCTGTCTTGCCTCGTCTCGCATCGTCAGGTCTCAGGGACCCGTCAGGGATAATCGCCAGCTCTCAGGGACGCGTCAGGGACAGCCGAGACAAGACGCGTGGCGGACTGTGTGGCCTCCAGCACAGCAGCTGAGACGGACGATCCGTGTGGTGACAGGTCCCGTTGCGTTTAGCCGAAGAGCAAATACCGTGGGAACGATAGCTACGAAAATCCAGGGGGAGTATGGAAGAGGGGACGGGCGGTGCTCATGGTGAGAGGGAAATTCTAGATATATGAGGGAGCGAGTAAAAACGGGGACGGAACAGAGAGAGTGGTGTAGTGAATGAAGAAAATGACCGACAGGAAGGCAAATGGCGGGGTGGGCGAGATGAGCAAGGTTGGATCCGGTATTGAGATCATCGTGTGTAACTCGGCTGAGTGGCGAGGGTTGACGCCATGAACGCGGTAGACCATGGTGCCACTGCATACCCAGTGGCGGCAGTCACCATCGGAGCTCACCGGCCTGGCAGCCTGCCACCGACCTGTCTCTGTTGCTGTTTGTGCATCTCCTCCATCTGCGTGCGCTCGATCTCGAAGACTAGAGGCGCCAGCAAAATGGCCGCTGACGAGAAGAAGATCCATGAGGAAGAACACAGCAGGCCGTAGGCTCCTGGAAGCAGCAAGGTCCGCAGGTAAGTCTTCATCAACAGCTGACAGCACAGACAAAGCAGGTAACATATCCTTCCCTGAAAACATAAAGCCCAACATGTACACCCCTTCCATCCCATGCCACATCCATGCAACATAACACGACCGACCGCCTCAACAGAACTGAAAGCTGGCTTCAGAACTCATGAAACATTCACTGCACACAGAAACGTTATAAACTGCGACATCCACCGCCCCTGCCTGGAGACATGCGAGCCAGGTATGCAGAGGAAAACGATGTTCACTAGAACAGGCCAAAGCTTACTTATAAGGTGATTATGCCACAACACATGGCGACCGCTATCTGTGAAAATTAAGGTCAGCCCTACCGACCGTAAATGGCTGTCGCTTTTCTCCAGGCCCTAGACCTCGGATCGTCAGCGGAACCTTGGATGACGCTGCCCAGGTCACACAATTGACGCCTGTGAAGGAGCCCTGGATGACGCCGCCGAAGTCACACAATTGACGCCTGTAAATGAGCCCTCGATGACGCTGCCGAAGTCACACAATTGACGCCTGTGAAGGAGCCCTGGATGACGCTGCCGAAGTCACACAAAAGACGCCTGTGAAGGAGCCCTGGATGACGCTGCCGAAGTCACACAATTGGCGGCTGTGAAAAGGCCCTGGATGACGCTACCGAAGTCTCACAACCGACGTCTGTGAAGGAGCCCTGGATGACCTCACCTTGACGCCTGTGACGGAGCCCTGGATGACCTCACCTTTGACGCCTGCGACGGAGCCCCGGATGACCTCACCTTGACATCTGTGATGGAGTGCTAGATGACCTCACCTTGACATCTGTGATGGAGTGCTAGATGACCTCACCTTTGACGCCTGTGACGGAGCCCTGGATGACCTCACCTTTGACGCCTGTGACGGAGCCCTGGATGACCTCACCTTTGACGCCTGCGGCGGAGCCCCGGATGACCTCACCTTTGACGCCCGTGACGGAGCCCTGGATGACCTCACCTTTGACGCCTGTGACGGAGCCCTGGATGACCTTGCCGGAGACGTCCCGCACGGTCGCCGGCAGCATCTCGGTCAGCCCCAGCAGCCGCTCGCCCAGCGTCTCGTCGATCTGCGGCGGCACGGACGTCAGAGGGGCACAGGCCGCCGGAGTCGGCCACGGCACCGACCGCGCTCGCGCTCGCCTCTCGTCTCACACCACCGATAAGCTGCGCTAGCTACGCCTTTACCAAATGTGCATTAACCGCGACTGGTCGGTCAAGCTATGGTGGTGGCTGATTGTGCCACTTAACACAGCATCTGATCTGATCAGAGCTTGCATGAACTAAAAAATAAAGCAACAGTAGTTTCACTCCACCTCACCACGGCATACCTTAAAAGAGCATGGCAGCATGAAGGGCAGTCAGCAATGTCCTAACATCTGGTGATCACCAATTAACCACGGACATTCTGTACTGCAGACTGGCCCTGAGACAAGACGAACTCCGAAGACCAGCTGCCACAGCACGCGTTCGCCCCGTTGCTATATGCTGTGATAGACTTTGTGTGGAACGCACCTTGGAGACCTCTGGGTGCACTGGGTTTGGCGGCCAGCAGCCATTTCTCATGGATCTCGGAGTAAACCTAAGCAAGGCAACACCTAGACACCTGAGCATACAATGTCTGCTAGATGTCTGTATGGGTAGGGTTTATCGAACTAGCATTTATGACAGAAACATCAATCCACTATGCCAGTGGGCACCCACGTTGCACGCGTCCAGTGAATGCTCCAGCCCGCAACTCAGAACATGTCTGCACCTCTGACCACAGCAAGGGTCGCTGAATGAGCCAGCGAGTGGGTGCCTCGTCTGAAGCCAGAGTGGCCAGTGACCTTCGGCAGACACTCACATCGTCCTCAATGTCGGTCGGCTCCTCAGAGCCCGGCCGGGCCACCACCAGCGAGTCCTCCATGGCTGGTGCTGCTGGCTCTGCGACAGGCCCCGCCTGGTCGCCCATGATGCTCACAGGGTGTGCTGCTGCTGTGAGACAAAAACCACCTGACAAATACAGACATGCCTGATGTGTTGGAAGCATCAAAGGCCATGAACAGCACACTTCTACTTGATTGCTCACGAAACTGGGTTCAGAATAAACTCAAGAATCTGAGATTAAGGTTCAGTCGATGTTGGGCCGATACATGTGAACTTGCCAGTAATTAAGATGGAACTAAAACAAACATACTGGCCTACTGATACACATAAAAAGCATGGCTTACTCAGAATTTTTGTTCTGAGGCCCCATTTTTTGTGCACCTAAAAATATGCATTCCCAGGGCCAAGACCTGGTACATTACATTCCATAGCTACCTTGGGTATGCGTGGCATGTATGCAGGTAATTTCCACCCTTATGCACCATGCTGCTGGTATTGCTTTTGAATGAGAAGCATTCTACACATTATGTCTGGTACATTTTCCCATTTGAAAGCTTAATGTTTAAATCCTTAATTTTGTTAGGCAGCCAGCATGCCTTTACACATTAATTTTTAACAAGAAAGCCAGGCCAATAATATACTTACCCTGGGATCTACATTAGTACACAAGTACTAGTGCAAAAATTTACCAACTGTACCAGAAACTTTCAATAGTGATGCTGTGGATGGATAAACATTGATGCACTGATGCTCATGTGTGTGCTTATGTCCAGCAGAGTTACAATGATCCTTTCTTTATTTTTATGGGAAAAGCTTTGGGAGAAATGTTGTCCAATCTTGTTTGGCACCATGATGATCCCATGAAACATTAGCTCTTTGAGTTGAAATTGATGGCAAACATGCACCAACCTTTGAGCACTCTAATTTTTGACAGATGTGATGTGCAGCATATGCTGTGCAAAGCTGTTGATGCCACTTTGCCAGATCAGCTGTGCATGGTACCATGATGCAATCAAACAAAAACATATTGCGGGGCGTACTCCATGGGAAATTTTGTTGTCTGGAGCAGTCTTTTCAGCTAAAAATTATATCAATGGCCATAGCAAGCTCATTTTACCATATTTGACGCTCGTTGCAGTATCTGCAAGTGCGGAGCATTCCCTTTGATGCAAATATTTAAATTTTCTAAATGTGGCATCCAAAAATTATGACAACCACTGAAAACACAAAACAGGTTTGTCCCAGGGAAGGAATTACAAGGTTATGCACTGACATGATGATAGAAAACATCAAAATACCAGTAAAATGCATTATGGAAAGTATAGGTAATATTTCATACTGCAAAGGCCGGGAGACGGGACGGGATGGTAACGCCGGTGCAGGCCTTGCATTCCATAAAGTGATCCCCATCAAACAAAAATACATTCAATTGAGTAATTTTCCGTGGTCAAAACACTTTGACACATACCTGGCTAAAAAAATAAGAACAGAGAACGAATTTATAACGCTGTAGTCCGATATATATCCTCGGGACCACTCTAAATAACACCACCAGATACCACACGCAGCACGATGCGCGAGGGAGGTCACGTTTCAGTGCGCCACATTTGTAGCTTGGAAGCCGGGCTCCAGGCTATGATATTATGAAGGCGGCGGGGAGCCGGGGTCATGCCATAGTGTAACGTGTCTGCAATTTCACCGACCAAGGCCACAACCGCATTGCTTACCTGGTCCGTGGACGAACGAACAACATTCTCTGCGTGTTAGAATTGCGACAATAGGCTACTATCCTAATTAATCGCATATTTTTATGTGGCCAAATGTCATGCAGGGTATAGTGGAAAAAAAACAGCCACGGCTTTGAAGCGTGGGCCCCGCCAGTGAAGGGATAAGTATATGTATATCCGAGTCGCTAGAGACTCCTTGCGTGGTAAAGGGACATACCACGAGCACTTTAAAAGCTTAGCGAAGCATAAAATCCTCGGTTGTTGCACTTTGTAGTCATTATCATGGCACGCCACTCTGAGAGATCGCTTCGTGGCACCGACCTCCCAGCCGGTCCGTTGACGTCGACGCGAACCGTTGACGTTGACGTCCATGACGACCCTCAGGTAGCATAGACCAATTGATGCCACAGCCAGTTAGCCAGGTGATGAATCACTATTGCGCGATAGGGAACTGTTGCATCAGGATTAGTATCTTTCGCTGCACCTCCGTTCTGGCACCGGGGTGTTCAGGAGAACCCCCTCTTGCGCGGCATCGCACGCTGTACGTTCGAGTCGCGCAAATACGATCAATACGACTTACCAAACATTGCGTCATCCCGCGGGAAACTAGGAGCATTCGGGAAAGCAGCGCCCCTTGCAATTCCCCTTGCACGAACTGGTTGCGCCCGGCCAGGCCACAATTACGGACATGGTTTCGTATTTTGTAACCTCATTTTTGTCTGCGCGAAAAGCTGACGCTGCTGGCATTGACCGCGCCGCTGCGAGTCCGGCGACAAAATGGCGCTTCGCGCTTGAACAGCGCGGGTCGGGTTGCAGCCGTCACCTCCCGCACGCATTCGGCGACTGAAACCACCACTCGTACCATCTTCGCGTCACATTTGCTGGACGGTGAATGTGACTAACCGTGTGAACCAGCAGCCCGCTGCAAGTTGCACTCGCTCCAGCATCGTCCCAGCTATTTCTCACGCATGTTTTCAACATCGTGGTCTCGATACGTCTCCCGCCCACGCGCCCGGAGTCTGCTAAATGCGAGACGTTTACTTCCCGGACCATGATACGACGCAAGCCGTTACCCAGCGGATGCAACTCTGTGTTTCAGATAGCCGTAAGCCATCTATCTTGCCAAAATTTAACAACCCGTCTGAGCTGAATTTCGAGCAAAAACACTAGGCCGCTGGCAGCCGTTCGCACTGTTATTTAAACACAAACTCGAGCATTTCGGCACCCAAAGAAGCATTCGTGGCATTGTCTGCGCCGCATCCGTTACGCAGTGCACTGGCGCCGATTCACTTTCAGAATCATCCGAGTGAGACGCGATATGTATTACATCCAATCTATTCTCAGTCTGTAGAAATTTGGAGAGTTGGACAGACTTTTGTACTTGCACTTGAATCCAGTCTACCTCCAAATGTCCAAACAGATCTCTTACAATAAAAAAGATGCTCAAGCACACACCCACACATCCATGCTAGACAAAAACAAATGTTATAACTAAGTTTTAGGCAATCACGAGACCAACTATTTGGTGGCCAATGAAAAGAAACCTTTCCTAAATGAACATCTTGGCCTGAAACGATACATGCAGAGTGGAACAGCACTAACTATATACACGGATGACGTGAGGAAGACACGAGCAAATCACTTACATTAAAACAATTCTCAAGCATGTGCCATATTTTTGCATCCCGGAAAAAGAAAAAAATTCACCTCCTTGGACCGCTCAAGCGCAAAAACAGCACCGACATAACGTCCACACGGGGCTGTCATACTCGTGGAGATCGTCCTACACATTCGATGAAACGATACAAAAGAAATGATTCTACACCGAGTCACGCACACGACTGACACCAAGCGGCGCCTCCACCTCGCGGCGCTTTCCGCCAACAGCGTGACTGCCCGCCGTTCGCCCAACCGGACAGCCGGGCGGGGCGCAACTGCCGCGACAGAGGCCAACACCTGACAACACGGAGCCCCGACCATGTGTGTGGAACTGTGGGAGGTGAATAAATAAAACCTAGCTGCGCGCGCGCCGCAAGCGCGGGTCGCGGTAGGCCGTGCGCACGCGCGGACACATTCTCTGCGCGGACTCCTGGTTATTGGCAGTAGACTTTATGAGCGGGGCGGCGGCCAGTGGAGGGTGTTCGGGCGCCGATTTTGCGTCGCCAGCTTAGGCGCGCTCGCCACGGATCCGCCGGGCCAGCTGAATGTCCTTCGGCATGATGGTGACTCGCTTGGCATGGATGGCGCACAGGTTGGTGTCCTCAAAGAGGCTGACCAGGTATGCCTCGCTGGCTTCCTGCAGCGCACCGATCGCGGCGCTCTGGAAGCGGAGATCCGTCTTGAAATCCTGCGCGATCTCACGCACCAGCCGTTGAAACGGCAACTTGCGGATCAACAGCTCCGTCGACTTCTGGTAGCGACGAATCTCACGCAGAGCCACGGTACCAGGCCTGTCAAAATAGGTGTGTGAGAGCAATGTGAGAGCAATTATGGAACACTTGCAAAACAAAACCTCTATTCCTTTTCTCTTAGTAACCAATACAAATGTTCTCCATTTCATACCAGATGGTAGATGCCCCACACAACCAAGTGTGTCATAAACATTGACCATGCCAAGGTCATGCAACATTCACATAAAAATAGCAGTGTGATACTGCTCAAATTGCAGGGCAGCCAAACACAGTTCCTCAGGACCATTGTGAAGTTGAAAGGGCACTTGTGCACTTAATGGCATAAGAGCCGGCACAAAATGCATAAATGGTAGTCTGCTCTAATTACCAACCATTATGCTAGATCCCAACATGAAAGGAGAAAATATCCTGGCTGCTAGTGGGAAAAAACTTGAAAATAATGAGCAGCAACTGTCACCACAAGGCAGCCAAGGGGACATTGATACTGACAGTGAATAACTGCACCTCTGCTGACAATGCATTGTAATTTCCCATGCTGATCAGCTTTTCTAGACATGACCTGAACTGAGGAATGAAACTCAGCATTCTAAAGAAACAAGCCCAACCCCACTTATGTTTCCTGTACTATTATGTGACACATAAAAACCCAGCACTGCAGTAAGGCAAAAAGCCTAGAGGCAGCTTCATCAAACTGGAAAGGGGCACTTTTCCCATAAATGATTCAGGGAACAAGCAATGGCCTCTGCCTAGGTGCTCTGAACTTAAATTTATCCATGCATGCAAACAATGCAAATGACCAAAATGCAAGCCATTTTACACAATATTTATAGAACCCTACATAATGTGCATGTCCAAGCAAACAACTGGTCAATGCTGAGGTAGTTTTGCTTCAATAATTTACTACTGGTACCAGCAAGCTTAGAAAGAGTGGTGACAAGAAAAATTTGAGACGAAGGATTAAATTTGATTCTTCAGATCACTGCAATGACTGAAGTCTTGACCACAACAATGCCTTCTTTCAAGCAAGAATAGTAATTGGAACTGACTACAAAGTGATGATATATACCTGAGGACACATGCATTATGTATACACATATATAAACATTGACCACTCCCACCCACTTAGCATACAAATGGTCAATACATTACAGCTGCATTTTCAAATACCATTAATGCTAACAAGACTGTAGTAACACACCAGCAGCCAACACATCTTTGTCAAAGGCTGTTTCTCCTACCTGTAACGATGGGGCTTCTTCACGCCACCAGTTGAAGGTGCAGACTTGCGAGCAGCTTTGGTGGCCAGCTGCTTACGTGGGGCCTTGCCTCCCGTAGACTTTCGGGCAGTCTGCTTTGTACGGGCCATTTTTCTGGAACAGCAAAGAATGACAGTGAAATGTACTTGTGGCAGAACAAATCCAAAAATAACAACTATCTCCTCGTACAAGTCATCAGTGCGTGTATCACAAACCAAAACAATTAACTAAATCCACAACCACCTACCATGCACCACCGACAAGTCCGGAATCCACCACCCACGACACAAAAATTCCAAATGGCATGGAAACCTGACAACGGCCTGCAAAACGTAATCAAGCCATCCCTAGCCTCACGCAAGCAAAAATATAACTCAGCAGGTAGTGGCCAATCGTGGGGAAAGTGACAAGGCGACGACATCGCCCGTAACAAGGGCATAAGGCAAGTCACGTATGGGTGACAACGCAAGGATTGCTATTTTGTCGACAAAATACCATACCGACAGTGACCACGCCTTCTATTGCCTCAACTCACCCAAAATTCCTTGCAGATAATGCTCCTAACCAACTCCGCAACGGATTTCCACGCTCGCCGAACGGAATCAAGCGTTGAATGACGTCATCATATCCTTGCTCTACCATTGGTCAAAATAAAACCTACTCTGATTGGTTAGTTTGTCGGCGAGGCTTCGTATGATTGGTTGAAGTTTGTGTGTTGCATCATCCCCGGCGTTAAAATTTCTCTTTGTAGTAAATATGTATCGGCATTGCAGAATGTATTGTAAAAATGTTGTGCCTTTGGATAAAGTCTTTAGAGCTTTCAAAGTGTCATTCATCTTCTCAGAACATGTTATCTGCTACAAAGGTCTCGTTTGAAAGGAAATTCTTTGATGCTACCAAATCACATGCGCATGGTGCGATTTTAAACAACTGGGAAGTGAAAGTGACTCCATTTGGAAAGTGAAAGGATGCATGTAAATCGGCTCATTAGTGCATTTTCTCAGAATGGCTCCTCTGCTTAAATCCACTACGAACTATATGTACACAGAATGCCGCTCTAGTGTGAATAGACTCACCTGAATCGATTTACCTTGCATTCCGACGCCCCGTTGTGTGAATCCACTTGTAAGCAGATCTACACGAACGTGGCCTCATAGTTAGTCGACACAGATCTGAGTGGGTTTACTCAGGGGAATAGCTTTGCATATATACATAAACATATACATACATGTGTGTGTGTGTGTGTGTGTGTGTGTGTGTGTGTGTGTGTGTCCGAAAATAAACGCAACCTAGCTTACTAGCATCACTGGACGTCGAGGGTTCATTTACGGACATTTCGGTGGAAGAGGCCATGTGTATCCTGCTTGAAAACTTCCATCACCACTCACCCATCCCTCCTCCTAAAATGGCAGTCCTTCCGTTCCGGAGAATCTCCCGCGAGCCTATAGGAGAGGCACTATTTCAAGCACCGGATAGCAAACTCCACTGACAACAGAATGGGGTGGCCATGGGATCCCCCATGGGACCGCTCTTTGCCAATGCCTACACGCACCGCGTGGAAAATGCAGTCCTTCAAAATGCACCCCTCCGCCCCGCACATCTCGCGCGAGATGACGTTTTCATAGACGTTATTAACAGAAGCCAGCTAAGCGAATTAAACATTTCAATGGAACCTTCTTGCGGTCTCCGATTCGCTTACGAACTAAGTGGCACTAATCGCATTCCATTTTAAGACATAGATATCGCACCTGACCAACGACGATTCGTGACAACAATGCACAAAAAGTCAACGGATGCTGAACGGTGCCTCAGTGCTACAAGCCAATGCCCCGATCGGTGCAAGATCATTGTAGTGCGCTCTTGTGGCGCGTGGCGGAGCTATCTGCCGCGGGCCCCAAGCTGCTTTTTTCCAGCGTGCGAGTACGCATTTTGTCTGATATGTTTGGTCCGGGCGCTCGTTGCGTATATGGACGCTAGGACGATAAATAGGCGGCAGACGTATAAAAACACCTACCCCGTCGAAGGAAAGAGCAGTAGCAGCACAGCTACAAGGTACAGTTGTAGTACCGTGCAGAGGAGTCACGAATATGGGACCAACGGTGGTGGGAGCCCTAACGGCCTGGCGCAACGACGGCTGAACGCTTGGCGCCTTCATCCCTCAACCATAACGACTCATGTAGCTACACATAAGAGTACAGCACAGTCGGCTGTCGGAGAGACATTGAGACGGACAACGGTGATGCGAGACCGATATCGGCCCGGAGCGCCGACGGCTGGGCGCTCGGCGCCAACGCCTGCACAAAATGTGAGCCCGGCGGAGGAATCGCCGACCCTTCAGCGGTTCTCTGAACTCCCAGGCCCCTCTCTATGTTTTGTAACCTTGCGTTGTATTAATACACCTTAAAGAAACGAGCTCTGGAGCTCTGGAGGAATATTGAGCTTACGTACTCGCACCTCATGCCTGAACCGGTATATGTCGTGCACCTCATTTCGTGCCTGCATTGGACTATCGAAATAAACATATCTAACACACACATATGTCGCCAATATGTGTCGTTATATGACCTGCTGAACCTTGCCTGGTATTGCTCTATGCGTTTCAAGGATTAGTTTGTCGGAAGATAGCAGATCACTGAGTAATGTGCAGCCTGAATTTTGCGCCTTGAGCCAGGGCCCGTCGTAGTCAGGTTCATGTTTTTGATGCTAACACCTCTATCCCGCTCAGTTCATGTGCTGCGTACAGCCTGGGGCGACTGAGAATTCACATGCGTTCAGTCAAACCTTGTCATGACAGGATAAATGCGTCAGATATGCTTGATACAGTGACTCCTCGCGGGTAGCGATGAAGGTAGGCCAGCGCGTCACATAGACGAGGGCTCCTCGTGGGTAGCAATGGAATATTATGAGCCGATGAGAAATTCCGGCGGGCCGACGGGTGGTGTCGGCATGGTTGAGTAACGGCAGAGAGTGGGCGCTACGTGGTGCTGCTGCGATGAGCCTTACACCAGGATGCCACTTTTTATTGGGGACAAATTCCGAGGTATGCATGGTGCATAGCTAAACGGTTCCGCTCATGATGAAAGGGCTCTGATCACTGTACGTGAGCAGCCGTCTGAGTGTAGCGACCACATTATAGGCCTGCTTTAACCTATAACCTTTACTTAATATGGCCGGTGGCAGGTATGCGTGAGCCAGTGTGATACTTTGTTCTGTCATTGATTGCGGAATCCCAGTAGCCGACGTTTGCTGCCCATGTTAGGACGGAAGCACGTCTTTCGTCAAAGCCCATCTTTTGTCGATGAGCCAATGTATTTGCCATCATTTTGCAATCGCTCCAGGTTAGTCGACTTATGACACGGAATTGCCTCCATGATAATTACTTGCGAATTAAGACAGAGGGCCAATTAACCAACAGTCACCATTAACAATGGCATCGTATAACTAATCCGAGCAAGTATGATTATTACCGGTAAACGTATTTCTCCCAAGGAAGTTTACTCTTCCGATGTTGGTTACTAGTGAGTGCAGTCACTATCTCCAGATTATTGCGGGCCCGCAGTGGGCTGCTAATTATTCCCACACGCACAGCTAACTCGAACAACTAAAATTACATATTTCATACACGTGGTTATCCGACGAAATGGCCCTGTTACATCGCTGAATAGTGTTTGTAAAAGTATTCAACACATTTTGCCTGACACAACGTCACGTGCAAGTACGCAACTTCAAAAACCATACAGGAACTTCATCTAGATTACTGAGTCAGTGACGGCGCTTGTTGCTGTTATGCAAGCTGGGCTGTGGGAATGTCGTGATTGCCGTTTCATGTTGGTGAGGAATCCGTTGGGTGACCATGATGATATTGCTGGGCAATGGGGGGGGGGGGGGGGGGGCAGTACTCCGAGTTACGCGGACGGCCAGCAAGAGGAACGTCGCCAAGAGTTAGGGTTGAAGCAAGTTTGAGTTGAATACGAAAAAAAATAATTAAAAATTATCTTGCCAAACGAGGCAAGCGATATTACGTGAAATAAAATGTGAATCTGCGCGTAGCATAGTGGCGGCCAGTATGGGGGATGCCGCCTAAAAGTCAACCGAGAAGAAACATCAGAATAAATGGAAAAAATTCGCGTGGCATAATGGTGGCCAGCATGTCAAGTGCGCCAAAGAGTAGAAGAAAAGAGTCAAGAATCTTCTCGCAAATCTTAAAAGGTGAGATACTGCACGTAACATAGTGGGGACCAATGTGAGGGATGCCGCCTTAAAGTAAGAGGAGAAAAAAATCAAGAATCTTATCGAGAATCTTAAAAAGTAGAATGCCACGCGTAACACTCCTACCTCCGAAGAGCTCCGCTCAGACTCCGCTCAGATTGGACGCAACTTCGCAGTGTGCTGCAGCACATCAAACAGCTTTGTTAACAATGGGTACTCCAACAGTGCCATCAACCATAAGGTCCGTAGCTTCATGTCACGATATGAGATAAAAAACTGGCGTCATCAAACATCAGCCAAATAAAATAAAATTGTCTATCAGAATCAAATGTTTGATAGTTATAAAGCAGACAAGCGTATCCTTGAAGAAAATAATATCTGACTATGTCAAGCCAGTTAACCAAACATCTGCAAACCAAACAAACGTCTGCTACGTCAAGCCAGTCAGCGACAATATAACGCTCACCACCTACTACAGAAACAGGAAGGTCGCTCAACTCATCATAAGAAATAATCTCAAGGCCAAATATGGCTCCCCCGAAGTGAACCAACGTAGTTTACCAGTTTCGTGTGACATAGGAGATCGCAAACTCATAAAGCAACCAAACTACGTTGGTGTGACCACCACCACACTTTAAAGGTGGTTGACGATGCACTTGGTTGACAGTGCTCCAAAAGAGCACACGAGAAAAGAACCCGACCGGAACATCACCCAAGACAACCTCACAAGACATCATAACTAGGAATCACACTCACCACGCACCTGCCAGGGGCTTCGCACCAAGCTGGACGATATAAACGGCCCCGTTGTGTAAGCAATGCCTGCTTCACGTTGTTGAACATGTTTTGACGATTTATATTTTGATCAGTGATTTTGTTTTCCTCGAAATTGTGTACGCGACGGGATAGTTGATTAACTGTGAATGTGGTCGCTGTATTGTTACGTTTTAATATTACACTCATATTACTTTTGCAATTGAACCAAATCAAATAAGCAATTTGTTTGAATAAGTTGTGAATGAAATGACCATGTAAGTTAACTTGAACATGAACAAACCAGGAGTTCCCAATGAGATCTACCACTTGAGTCGCCAGTAGTCAGGCGCATACCAAAAAAAAACCTGTCAGACATTTGTATTCTGACCTTTGAGAAGTGCATGGAAGATGTATTGTGCGGTTTCTGTTATCAATAAATTCGAAATGAGCGCCAGAAACTATTCCCATACAGCAAGCCCTAGAGTGATACAACAGATGGGCTTCAACCTTGGTCGGACCTTTAAAACTGACCTTAGGTCACTTGAATTCGCTTATTAAATTGTTGTGTTGCCTAAGAAAGCATCTCAGCGATGCATGGTCTCGTCTAACACTCCGTTGTTGCATCAGATTGAACGATTCCCTGGAAAT